AAGTTGCAAATACCTTCAAAACGATGGAACAAAACTATTCAAACGAAGTTCTTATGAATTTGTTTATTATTTTTGGACAGTGTGACAAAATTATCAGCAGAACGTGTAGAAAGTTCAATGAAATGTATCCGAATCTACCGCCAATGAACCTCAAGAAATTGCGCTTGAAAGACATATTTTCGTAAAATAACGAGAATTATAAAGAGAACAATTATTTTGCAGAGAAAAACGCTGGGTGTAGAGTTAAGAAGAGACTATGTTGAAAAAAAAAAAACTGAAAAAATGTCTTGTATCTTTGTTGCTTCGGAAACTTTCCAGACCACCCTCGTAAATTGACAATTCATCTAAAATACATCTCTATAAGCCATTTAGGGTTACGATTACTGGACATAGACTTGTATTCTCTTGAGCATTGGAACGTTAGATTGTGAGTATTCTCCTTGACGCCCACTGCCAGAGGTCATAGAAGAAGAAAATTTAGATGTTGGAGTTTCCAGAAAATTTCTCTCTCCTATCTAAAAAATATCGTAGTGTGCATTTCGCAGTGTAATAAAATATGCTATCTGTTGAAGAAATTAGGGGAATTTTCATTTCTCTCAAAAAATATTCACTCATCAATTTCTATTTTATCCACTTCAAAGTAGCCCCCTTCAGCGTTTTTTCCAGCAGTTCTGATATGCACTTTTCGGTATGTCCTTCAGCTCTCTCTGCGATTTTGTTTTCATCTCCTCAGTCGTCGCAAAACGCCGACCTCTCATAGGTCTCAAACCTAGAGAACAGGAAAAAGTCACAGGGGGCCAAGTCTGGTGAATACTGGAGATGATTTAAATAATTCTTATAATTATAATAGAAGGAAGGAAATTTATTATTATTAATCCTTGGGCGGATTGACTGTGAAGGGGAGAAATGAATGAAACAACCATTTCAATATTATGTCTTCAACATCTTTGCAAGAATTGCAGCACACTTTGCCATATTGGCTTTATTTCCACTTTTTTTCTCTAAATTACTCATCAGTGCTTTGAAGACCTTCGTCTTTCCTGATTTATAAAGACCAACTATCTTCTCATTTTCTTGGATTATTTCCTCACAAAGTTTTTCCAACTCTCCTTCATCATTCATCTGCAACAAATCTCTGTCCCGCACAATCTGGAAAAAATAGTGACTTTCTAGTTGTAAATGTTCCAAAAAGTAACTATCTGTTCAAACGTTGTTCTCACCTGACTGGGTTTATCTGTATTTCCTGCTAGTATCTCTTGCAGTAATAATTTCGAAGCGTTTCTATTGATATTTTGGCTGTCCAACATGTCGAAAATTTCACCAATGTAATCTGCAGATTTTTGCCTGAAAGTGAACATTAAAAATTTTCAACTCACAGTTCATCTACATGTTTACAGAACTTCAAATCATTGTCAAACATGATTCTTAATTTTCACGAGGTTGACCAGTTCATCATCATCATCAATGGTTATATTGATGTAAACATTCAAGGCCGGAGATAATTGTGTGAATGTTATTTTCCGGGCTTTTTGGCGGTGGTCTGCAAGTTTTATGCCTGACGTTTCGTCTACTACTGTGGTAGACAGTATAAAAGACGATGTGGTAACGGTCACAGTGAGTTGGTGCTTGAATTGTTGTTCCCAACGTGTTTCTGCGTTGAGATAAGATCTACCGCAGTAGTAGACGAAACGCCAATGATGAAAACCTACAGGTCAGGGCCAAAAAACCCGAAAAATAGTTTTCACACAATGTCTACATTGATAAAATGTTCAATTTAGATTCTTATCAATATAGGACCAAATGAAATTTATATTAGATTTATTTACATTTATAATGAGACCATGTTCAGTGGAAGAACTATGAATTAAATAAGGTCTTCTATCTCATCAAGAGAAAACGAATAATAGAGTGGGGTGCCATCGGCGTAGATGTTATAGAGTGCTTAATTAGTAATCAATAAAAAAAAATTAACCTCATGTTAATAAAAGAGTTTATACTTCCGTAATGAAACTAGGATAGATAAAATATATTATTTTTGTGAAAAACCAATTTCATTTCTTTGTTTACTGATTTCACAGTTTAAATGTCCTAAATTTGTATGATGAGATTTGTGAATAGTGTTATACCAGAATTAGTCTGCCTGACTATTCATGCCATTGTATAAAAATTATTTATATATGTGTAGTATAGTCGAAGTAAACAGTATTGTGCACACTTGAAGCTGTCGGCACTCTCAAAGGCCAAAAAACCAATACACAGAAATGAACCGGCTGCGAAATAGTCCACGTGGACTGTAGAATTGGCGGTTCGTATTGGATAAATTTACTAAGCAAGTTTTATGATTGGCTGAAGTCATAAAATTAAATTTGAAGTCATCGCGATTTGAGTGATGAAATTCGATATTAGTGCAGTTATGATTACTTAAGAGATACCAGTGAATACGATTCGGATTGAATATTGAAACACAGAGAGTATGTTTCAATGCATGTAAGAATCTACAACTCAAGTTTGATTTCGAGGAAAACAAACTATTACAAGCAACATCAGATTTGATCGAAATTCCTTTCTCAACTGTACGTAAAATAGTCAAAAACAAACCTTATGAACGCAAGACGGGATGTGATAAGGATTACCAAAACCTTAAGATGTTCATCTAATAAAATCATTGAAAAAAACAATATACGACTGTTACAAAATCAATTAGATTCCTACAACTGAAATCATAAGGAAGAAATTGAATACTTCCGGCCATAACGTGAGCTGCTGTGACAAAACTTTTCAGAATTGGATAAAGAAACTAGGATTTAGATTTAAAATAATAAACAAATGTCAAGCAGTTGTGGAAAGCGGAATAGTGGAATTGCGTAACAAATACTTAGAACAAATAACTAAATATAGACAAGAAACTTGGTATGACACTCACGACACAGTTGCGAAAGGGTGGACTGATGGTTCGAGAATGTGTACCCCTAACATGCCTGCAAACAAAGGATCGCGACTAATCATTGTGCATTGCAGAGGAAGTAAAGGATGGGTTCCGAGTTCTTTGAAATTATGTGGAAAAAAACTTGGGGACTGCACTGTTGACTCTCATAAGAACAAGGAAGCTAATATTTTCGAGGAATGGTTTGAAAACAAATTGATCCCAAATTTGGATGCGAATAGTGTAATAGTTCTTGAAGCTTCCTATCATTCGCGACAGCTCATCAAAGCACCGAATAAAAATTCGAGGAAAGATGAAATACAGTTTTTTAATAGATAACAATTTGTATTCTGAAGATTATTATATCAAAAACTAACTACTTGCAGTTTTACAGACAAAAACGTTTGAAAAAGTATATGCCCTTAGGAGTATTGCTCAAAATTATGGACATACATACTGAGACTTCCCCCCATATTTTTGTGTTTTCAATCCCATCGAGTTGATTTGGGGAAAATTGAATCAAATCATCATTAGTTGAAAAAGACTATATGGAGATTGGACACTTCCATAATAATGGTGGAAATAAATTCATTATTGATTTAAATGACGACAGTGATAGTAAAACAGAGAATATTGAAGAGGAATTATCAGAAGCTTTCGAAGAAAGTTAGTGAAGTGTTTTTGAAGCGATCGATTGTATATATATGTGAGTAAGTAGTATTCAGAAGTATTTTTTGAATGAGCACTTATTTTCTTTTTTTTCAAATTTTGAGAAAGTGAAGTGTCTCAAACCGGATTTCAGATCGAGGAATCTCAAGGAATATTATTTGTCTTGCTGAAATTCAAGTTTGAGAATTTCATTTCCAAAGAAATGGACGAATTTAGACTTTTGATTTGAGACAAGCTTGGGCTGTCCAACATGAAAAAAATTCAATTCACAGATAAGTTTTGACGAAAAAAAATAATTACACTTCTCTAGAATCCATTTCCATTTTGTTCAACAGCATATTTAAATCATTGATCAGGAAGTTGGCCAACGATTTCTGATTCACAGTTCGACTACTCACAATTTTCTGGAAAATTTTCAGCAGAGGATCGTCATTCTGTAAAAGGCACTTATAATAAAAAAACGTTTTATCTTATCAAGAATAACTTACAACTAATATCATGGATTGTTCCATGGTGAGACCACCTTCATTCCTCAATTTCTGTCTCGTTTCTGCGGGAAGCTCTGGAATTGTTTCTTTCAGTTTATCTGCATTAACACATCCAATTTCAATGGGGCCCATTGCTATGTGGAGAGGAGGCAAATTGGGCTCTGGCATGTACCTGTAATCCTAAAGTTGTGTTGAAACGGCAGAAAATTGATAAATGTTTGATCTTTAAAAACAAATAAATACAAAAATTCATAATAGAAAAATTTACAAAAGAAAGTTTAAAGCATGCCTATAAAGATATGAGAGAATTAAAAAAATAATGAATATATTTCTCAAACATTGCTTTAAAGAAGTAGTTGAGCCTGAATTTATTCATTATTTCAATTCGATTTTTGAGTATAAATAGATATTATGCACAATCAACAGCTACTGGAGAGTAAACCCAAACTAAATAAATGTAGACCTTCTCTTCTATGTTGGCAGTGTCGATATGATAAATGCAGAAGTCATGTTCTATAGGCTTCTGAAACCTCAGAGAAAGAAAATGCATCTCCAATATGACGGATCGACATCACCATATTGATTTGTTTATTTATTTATTTAATTGATACACAAAAATACAGAAAATAAGTATAAAACACTAACGAAGAGACAGATGTAAGGACAGTAATTGCAGTACATGAAGTAAAGATTGTGTATAGCACCTATGTGACTTAATACTTGTGTTATGCTACAAAGTAATACTAATTAATATAAAATTACAGTTGTGTACATGAAACAATTTAGTGGCTGTATATCTATTGGTGTCCTAATATTTTAATAAATCAGAAGAATCATGAAATACAAATTAATTAACAGACTTCAGCTTATAAAGAGAAGAAAAAAAAACATCTCAATAGTGCTGCTTTGTACCCTCTTGTTCAAATGCCTTGTTAATTTTTTGGACTGTTTCAACAGCACTTTAGTTCAATTTGAATTAGTACACGAAAATTGGCTGAAAATCGCTTAGGGACATCATGTAGTAATAGATAGATAGATAGAGTATTAAATTCTCTATCAATCGGCATATACCACAATACAGAAGAATTGATATTTACAACCACACGACATTTTAAAACGGACAAAACTTTCGAAACAACGTAACATAGTCTTCAGTCCATACTCTTAGTTTTCTTCATCTCCTGTTGACGTCAACTTCTTTGGTGAAACAACCGTCGAGAAGAGTATTCCTTTCTGATAGATAGATAATTTATTGGTGTTTTATACATTCATCAGTATTTACACAAGTCAATACATACATATTACATAAACAATAGATTCATATAAAAAAGTTTTTTTATAAAAACATTTATATCTTATAAGTACATCTGAGTTATTTCGACAAGCATACTTAAAAACAAAGCATTAAAATTTTAAATTGGGTATTATAAAACAGCAACAAATATCTATATGGTTAAAGAACTTATATCATCACAGTGCAGAAATTCTTCGGTGCTGAAGAAGGCGTTTTTTATTAAAAAATAGTTTATTCTTATTTTTAATATGTTATTAGGTAGAGATCTTATTTTATGTAGTAATTTACTGTTAAGTTTCACAGGCCAAAAATTTGGTCCATTTTGACATCTAGAGTTATAGCATTTGTTTGGATTGTAGTATCGTCTGCATATAAAATCAATGATATCGGTTTCTCCCGTAACTGTAGGTCATAAATGAAACTAATAGAGGTCCCAAAAATAAATAGATTGATAAACTTTATGGTGTTGTCAGAAAAATTATATAGTTTTAATTTATTCAAGAGAATTTCATGTGATACACAATCAAATGCTTTGCTTAGATCACAAAATCTTAATTCTGTATACTCTAGTTCTTCAAAAGTTGTTATTTTGTTGCTAAGATCTAGTATCCCTATTTCAGTGTTTCTACCTTTTCAGAATCCATACTGGCAGTCTGTGAAATGTCTCAAAATGATGTACAATTCTGGTGATTGGAAAAAGTTTTTTGTTTTCTGTGTTTCAATAGTCCTTCCTGTATAAATAGTAAAGCAGAGTATTAAATAACTGATTGAAATCCAGATACCTGTAGCACTTCTTTATCTCGCATTGCCACAGTTGTCTTCGTAGATGGATCCCACGACCTGGTTTCGTTAACTATGGGTTTCCCAGATTCCCTGACCTTGATTTGCCTCTTTATCTCATAGTCAATAGCCCCCGCTACCCCCCTGACTGAACCAATATTTTTTACCTCGGTTCTTACACCCAGCGGTTCAGATTCTCTGTGAATCGATACGTTCGCATCCACTCTTAGAGCTCCCTCTGAAAATTAACTATTATGTAAGATGTACCAACAATAAAATTTTATTAACCTTCCATTTTGCATGAGCAAGTCTCGATTCTCTGTAAGATTAATACAAGCTCCTTTACTAATGCTGCTGCTTCTTCTCCGTCTTTCAAATCAGGGTCAAAAACAAGTTCCATCAACGGAATTCCAGCTCTGTTCAGGTCCACCAGGCTTCTATCTATGTCATGTAAACTCTTGCCACTGTCTTGCTCTAACTGCAACTGTTTAATTTTTACACTAGCTACGTAGGGGGTTTTGTGGATGCCTGGAGTGAATACTTGGAAAGACATTTGTCCATCTATAGCCAGAGGAGCTCTTTGCTGGGTTATCTGGTAACCTGTCTGAAACAGTGGAAACTGAAAATAGTTTGGTTTTACAGGTCGAAGACCTGTACTGATCAGATTACTCAAATTAATCTTCTGATGGAGCACTTGATTAACGAAACACACATCGAGAGACAGTGCTCTAGTTAAAAAGTGGGAAAAGTGTTATCATTGGGTTCGAAACTAAGCTAAACTTACAGGTAAATCAGCATAGAAGTAATGTTTCCTGTCGAAGAACGATACTGGATTCAAGTGACAATTTAAAGCCAAGGCTGTTAGTACACCTGCTTCCACGCATTTCTTATTCAACACGGGGAGAGTTCCAGGTGTTGAACAGTCGAACAAGGAAACATTGGTGTTTACGGGGGATGAAAACTTCGTACCAGAGCCCGAAAATAGTTTAGTTTTAGAATTGATTTGTGCGTGAACTTCTAAACCTACCACACTTTTCCATTTGCTTAAAAAAGAATAATTGAAGTAACATGAATCAATGATTTGTTGAAATCTTACTTTTGATTGGATATTTTAGAAAATTTACGGATTATATTCAGTTTATACGGCATCGTTTTTATATTTTTGGAATAAAAATTCTAATTGTTTGAATTAAAATCCAAGAACAAGACAGGTTACATTTTTTGATAACAATATTTAAAATATTACTGTTAACTGTTACCAACCTTAAAATAGTACAAACTTTTCAAAAAATCACTGTTACTGACGGGGGTACATCATAGAACTCACAATTGACCCAAGATATAATAATGAGCCAGTTCTGGTCTCTATCCAGACTTTCTAACAGTCAGAAAAACGGCCGATTAACTGAATTTCATTAGTTCGGACTTCCATTGTCTATGATATAAAATGATTTGAAATCTCTGAAAGCGATTTCAAATTATTTTAATAAAATTCACCATGAAACATTGTCAACCACTTTCAAATAGTCGATCAACTGAATACTGAACATGGTGTCTGTAAATCTTCTCTGTCCACAACTGACTTACTGATTTTGCTCGATTTAAAACAATTCAAACTGAGAACCATAACATAAATATTATACATTTATTCATATATATTATAATATCGATGGTTGAACCGCGTTCAGGTCTTAGATGTTTTGGCTTCAGTTTCATTCATACACCATCAGACACCGCTAGGAGAACGTGGGTATCCAGGCCGGGTGGTTCGGATAACCTCGCAAAAAGGATCGTGCATGTGAAAAAAACCTAGAGGCCTTCCGAAGAGGAGGCGAACCTAAAAAATTTTTGATGTTTTTAAATGAACAAAAAATGAGCGAAAAAACTAAAAGCAAGAAAAAAGGAAAAGAGTGATTTGAATTAATCTACACCTTTATATATAGACTAAACCTATACCACAGTAGAATGCTAAAAAACCCAGTAGTTTACTTTACCCACTTTTTGGTAATAAATCACAGCGCGCATGATCGAACCGTAGAGGATAATTTTGTGAATTGCCTTGATAATCGGCAACGCTGTTACGTGTTAAATTTTTTATAGAATTTACGGCTTTTGGCCTTTCAGTTCAGATCAGACTGACATTTCTTTTGTGGAATTATGATAAAGAGAAGTTTTGTTGTGACTAATGTTACCACTTCGCCAGAAATATCCCAAGTTCTGAGTTATTTCATATTGTATTCGTATTTTGAAAGATGTGAAAACAATGTTTAGAGAAATGAAAGTTTTGAAAGAAAGCAACGAAGATGTTACTTGTAGGATAAAGTTAACAAAGGGATGGCAACGATTTCAAGATTCATTAGTTCATGGTCAATTTATAAGGGATTGATTAATTGGCGTTCCGGAGCGACTTCATTGATTCCAATGACGCTTTTGCCTTTTCAGCTGCAGGAAAACCCGGAAAAACCTGCAGCACCACATCATCTGAAGATCTTGATTGAATAAGTTGAAAATGTAATATTTTGTGCCTATATTTTTGAATATATTCAACAGCGTACAAGGAGCCAAAAATTCAAAGGGTTTCATAATATTCTACAAAACGCAAATTAAATTTTCCATGAAATTCTTTTTACTGTCGAGCAGTGTATATCTATTATTCACTTGTTGAGCAGTGTATGAAATGTCAAATGCTGACAAATTCACTCGTGGACGATAATTATGGACGCGCATTAGTACAAAAAAAAATAAAACTGAGATACAAACATCTAGGTTACGACAAGAGTCAAATCTGTGTCTTTTAGAATTATACTGTGACCATACCTAAATTCATGTGTCAAAAGTTGAATCCACTATTTAATATTTCTCGGAAAATACATGTCTTTTTTAAAAGGAATTCTGACTAATAATCTAATACATCGTTTTTCAGTGAATAGGTCAAAACTCACCAAACATGTGAAATCAGTGACTATCAATAATCAAAGTCAATCCTTCACTCATCACCGACCTAATAAAAAATTGAAACACTTGTTGTGGTTTGCTGGTGGTTATTTAGTTTACAAATTCTATAAAGATAAACTCGCTATAATACCGTCTGTAACAGCTGCCTCCATTTTCAGTGGAAATATATTGGCCGGTAGAAGAGAGAAATTCAATTTCATTGCTGATGTAGTTGAAACATCAGCCCCTACGGTAGTATATATTGAAATAAAGGACTCTAGGAGAGTTGATTTCTTCACAGGTCGACCGTCTACCATATCTAATGGTTCAGGGTTCATTGTCGATGAAAATGGTCTCATTCTCACTAATGCTCACGTAGTAACAAATAAACCCCACTCTAAAGTGGAGGTGAAGCTTTTTGATGGGTCAGTTTACGATGGGGTAGTAGAAGACATAGACATGAAGAGTGATTTAGCTACTGTGAGGATCTCAGCAAAAAACTTGCCAGTAATGAAATTAGGAAATTCGTCCAATTTGAAGCCTGGTGAATTCGTTGTAGCAATTGGAAGCCCTTTGTCGTTGAGCAATACCGTAACTAGTGGAGTTGTTAGCTCCACCCACAGGGGATCAGATGAATTAGGTTAGTATATTCAGAGGTTGGGAAAGTTAGGAACGAAAACTCAAGTCTGATGAGTTACAAGTAAGTAAATATCCTGAATATTGTTTGGTTTGTAGATGAGGCTAGTTGAACAACAAAAGTAAGTTGGAATATCTTCCAGATAGTTCTGATTGTAAAGACTTGTAGCTGCTTCAGTTCATTATAGAAGGTTTTACTCCATACCAGAGTCAAATAAAATAGATGAGAATGATATACCTAGATATTTGAGACAACTAGGCTTGTTGACTGGGTCGTCTCCTATTTTGATAAGCCATTTGGTTCCATTCTTTTTTTCAATATAATTTTTGTATATTAGGCTGACCATTTGAGTAAACGATTATTATTAATGATTTTTTATACTGTTGGTCAAATAAACTACTGTTTTTCACAGGTCTAACAGGCAAAGACATGGTTTACATCCAGACAGATGCTGCAATTACTTTCGGTAATTCTGGAGGTCCTCTGGTGAACTTGGATGGGGAAGCTATTGGAGTGAACAGCATGAAAGTCACCGCAGGCATATCTTTCGCTATTCCCATTGATTATGCTAAATCGTTCCTAAAAGCAGCAAGTGGTTCCAAAAAAACTCCATCTGACATCCCTAAGAGGCTGTACATGGGTATCACGATGCTCACACTCACACCTCAAATCATCCACGAGCTCCAACAAAGAAGTCATGAAATTCCCAGGGACATTGAAGGAGGAGTGCTGGTATGGAAGGTTATTTTTGGATCACCAGCACACAAGTGAGTATAACACAGTTCTTTATTTTTTTTAGATACAGTTCACACAGATTTTCACTTGACAGTTTCACTATGCAGCAGCTTCTTCAGGTGTGAATTTTTATTTTCGAATACACAATCGAATCTTTCATTAAAGAGGATCCTGGTATAGGCAGCTTAAACTGATGTGTTTGTTTTGTGAAAAGACTTGAACGTGATAGGCACGAACTTTTGTTTTAGTGTATAAGACAGGAAGTTTCGAAGATGAATCAGAAGAAGTTAGAATATTGTTCCTTTTTAAACAAGGTCCACAAGTTCCGTTCCATTTTGCTCCATACAGATATCTTGCAAAATAAAAACCGTGGCATAATAAACATTTTCAGCCGAGTGCAAAGAAATCCAATGATAACTTTGTGTTAAGTGCTCCTACGTTTTCTTCAAATGGGGAATGTTCCTTCTGACGAAAATCAAGTAGTTTTCATAAAAGAGCTCTAAAACAACGCATTTTAAACTTATCATTTCAACCTTTTTCTTTAAAAAATTATTTAAATAGTTAAAAAAAGAGGAATGAAATAATGCATTCAACATTCAAAGGGATTCGTTTCTATTTCACCAATTGGCAACATCGATTATAGCTAATAAAGGACAATGAATCTGTTACCTCTATGAGACAAACAAAGATGACATATTTCAGAGGTGTGCAGTTCTGTTTACTTATGTTCCAAGTTCCGAGACATTCTGTGACATGACATTTTGTGCACCTAACCTATCTTCCTCTATATAAATAAATAACAAAGCAACTGTTGTTTATGTGGCTTGTGGAGGTAGTATTGAACTATAATGTATATTTTGCCTTAATTTGGCATGATTCCTCTAGCATACTACTATGTGGAGGTGGTATTGAACTATAATTTATATTTTGCCTTTATTTGACACTATTGACATGATTCTTCTTCATCTAGCAAACTACTAACCTGATCTCCGATCTAACATTCTAGGCGCTGTTGCCAATATATGAATTTGAAACAAATCCCTTTAAAAATAAAACCCAACATTTGAAACATCAATTTGAATACTTTTCGAAGTGAATTTGAAAAACTGATGAATTGAACTCAACTTTATTTTATTCAAACTTGCATTTGTTGTAATAACACAAATTGAGATACATTCCCCATTTTAGGTCTTGATCTATGTTCATGCCGAAGAAATTGGTGCTGATATTATTGTAATAGCGTCATTTCCCTGCATCAATTGAGGTAAAGTGCATTCAAAAAGTTGAAATGTTTGTTTTTTTTTTTCTAATGAAAGGCAAATCATTTGCATCAAACCAAACTTTCATCATAGATAATTTTCATTTTTCTTATTATTGTTATGCCCCAATAATGTAGTATCATTTGCAAACAACGTGGTTGAGCCTATGATGTTTATTCTGGTAAAGTCATTGATAAATAGTAGTGGCCCCAAGATAGAGCCCCGAGGTACTCCTGTACTTACAACCAGTGTGCTAGAAATATAATTGCTGGTCTTCACGTATAGCTTGCGATCCTCGAGGTAGGATTCAAACCTAACCAAACCATTGTCCCTTACTTCATAGTGGTAGAGTTTTCACAGTAGAATTCTGTGATTCACGCAGTCAAGGGCTTTTGATAAACGCTGAAATATTTGCTGCAAAAATGAAAATATTGCATCAGCGGTGCTAGTAAGCTATCCTTGAAAGGTAGACATATGCCATCGCCGATTTTTCTAGACCTATGAAAGAGCAATATGCAGTGAATTGTTTTGTTTTTACTCAAAGGGGTTGGGCAAAGTTTTGAACGAAAGCTCGCAATGAAAGTCAGTTTGGTAGTGAGTTTATCGTGTTCAAACAGAAATTGCTGGGATTTTTTTTATAATGTGTAGTGAGTTATGGTTTTGTACTCTTAATCGTTTATGCCATATCTTTATTAGACATGTTTCATTTAAATTTAGTATTTTTTTAGATCAATATTGATAAAATTAAATTCTTGCTTTGTACTTTGAGTTATCCTTTATTTTCAGTGGTGGACTGATGCCAGGTGACATAGTTACACACATCGATGGAAAAACAATAAGACACGCAAGAGACGTTTATGGAATGTTAACCAATATCAAATCTAGAAGTTTAAAATTGTCTGTTAATAGATTTGGGAAAAAGGTGGATGTTTTTGTTACACCAGAAGATTCTAGTTGATCCGAAACATTTATTTATTATTATTGATATATTTTGTAAGAATAAATTGAATATATTATTGTTCAAGTTTTTTTGTCAAACATTTTTGAAGTGCAGTCTGAACGACTTCTGTCATAAAGATGTTGATGTTACGAGGAATTTTCCTGCAAAGGCCTATCCATGGAGAATGTAGAACACTTGTAAGCTGTGCTGTTGTGAATAATAAGAATTATTTATTCACAATGTTTCTCCTAAGTATTAAATCCAACAGTATATAGAGAGGCATAATTCCAATAGAAAAGAAGAGGCAATGAACATTAATAAAATCTGGCTACCTGTTCTCAATTGTACATAGCAAGGTCAGGTAATCCAATTAACAGAAGCCAAGTCCACCTATGATGATATGAAACCGGTGTCGAATACCAGGACTGTAATTTTTTCATGAAATTTATCAAAATTTCCAGTCAAAAAATTATTGAACAAACATGAAAATTATTTATTCATTGAACATTTATACAGCCCTTCTAGAAAATTGAAAAAGTATGGGGGGTTTAGGGGCATCTTATACACACTGTGTGTATGAAAGAAATATACTTTATTGTCCAAGAAATCAAGTTCTTATTGACGTTGCATGTAAAAAAAAATGTTGAGTTCTTTTTTTTAGATATACAAAAGCAGAACAAACCTAAACTAATCAGTTAAAAAATAAACATATGTTAAATATACATAAAATGAGTGGATATATAAAAAATATCACATGCAAATTAACTAAAAAAGCTAAAATATAAATAATACACTGAGAATAAAATTTTAAACAAAATCATAGCAGAGTTTCACAGCAAAATTCCTCGAGAATATACAATGCTTTTTTGAGTAGAGCTTCTATTATTATTTTTCTGAATTTGTAACAAATTTTCTCATTTCTGAGGTTATGTGATTATATATTTTTTGCTTTCATATATCAGAGAGTCCTTTGTCAAAGTAGATTTCGGAATAGAGAGTTATTTTATTTTCCGATATTTGCCTTGTAAGTTATTACCTTTGACTGCTTGGTTTTTGGGTATTAAATGTATCAGTGTTTTTGTGAATTTGATATACAGACTCCAAAATGAAAATGCAGGCGAGGGTTAGAATGTCTGCTGAAAAATAATGGTTTACAGGGTTCACACATTCAAGCTTTATATAGGTACCTAACAGCCCTTTTTTGTAGGACGAACACTATTGCAGTAATTGTTAACTACCAAATCCCCAAAAGGCAATTCCATATCTCAAATGAGCCTCAAGTGGTTTGACATTTATCTACACAGTAGAACTCCATATGTTGAGATAGAGAAGTCTAATAAATGGGAGTATTACATAGGAGTACCACAAGGCTCTTTTCAAAGGTAATTTTATAATGAATGCAGATGACACTATGTTAATGGAAAATAGAACAAACGTAGCACAGTATTGGTTTTCTAATAAGTCAATCTGTAATGATGAAACATCTTTTGTATGTTGTAAGTTTAACTTTGAATTTGCCGCAAATGGTTTTCTCAAGTGGCAAGTAACTTCAGTTGAATTTTTGGGAACTCACAGATGATTTGAAGTGAGATCATCATATAAACACAATTTGCAAAAAAATATTAGTAATGTACTGTTGCATCCATCAGCTCAGTAAAAGTGTGGACAAATATTTGTAAATCATTTGTAACACTACTTACATGAAGCTACTAATAGTTTTAGTTCGCTTTGTAAACAAATCGAATCTGTCAACATGAACATAGTCATTGATTCACCGTTTTCAATAATCAATAAAAAGAATATCATTAGAAATGGAAGTTCAAAATTCGAGTGCTCTGATACTATACCTCTAAAAAAATGAATGAATTGAAATCTATTTTCAACTTTTTTAATGTATAACAAATCTTAAATTGTATATAATTTTTCACATTTTAATTGGTTTTTTTGATGATAGGTCCTTCAATTCCTAAAAAACAACATATATTATTAGAGATAAAAACTATTTCTTTTGAATGACAAAATGTATCATGATTAAACTACTAACATCTCTTTTTTGATTTGACAACAGTCCACCCATCTTCTTCCATTGGAGTTTCTGAATCACTTTCATTATTTTCATCACTAGAGCAATTGTCAACTACCTGGAATAAACAAAAATATTTATTGAATATAGCTATTTTACACGACAACAATCATTGTTACTAAAATCGGTGTTGACACAATTTTAGTCAAACTAGTTTAGTAGGGCTGAACCTCTAATCAGTGTTATAAAACCCGATTCACTGTAAATATAGGTTCATTGTATATTTTCTTTTTTTGAAATGGGATTCAACTCATGAATTTATGAATGAAATGTAAGACAAAAATATAACTACCTGTGGAACTTGTGCGTGCTTTGTAGTATGTTCCAACCATCCAAAATCTGGTGCAGGTAATTTATGATACTCACTTTCACATGCTGCTTCATCTCCAGCCCTTAGTAGTTGTAAAAACCTACACAAGATTACGCCAATATCTGTAAAAAAATTAATATTTTTACCATCAAAATCACAACTGTACAAATTAAGTTAAAGGTATCGATTTAATAATAAGACTAGAGAGACTTACCCCTTGTCGAGTCGTCTTCAAACACGGTATTGAAGTTTTCATCCATAATGTCATCAAGAAAATCCTGTATATCATCTTCATTGATGTCACTGTTGTGCAAGCAGTAATCTTCTAGTTGTGACAAACATCTCAGTGCAACCTACAATTTTAAACTTATGTACAATTTTTGATCAAAGCATACAGCTGTTTTTAGCTGTATGCTGTTTGCTGTGTCTTCACTAGTTAAAATTTTACCTCTTTACTATTAGGTCCTGCCATAGAATGTTCCACAGCAAGTTTCAAACCAGTCCAGTTACTGAAAACGTGTTTGATAACCTTATTAAACGCTTGCTCCATTTTTGCACGATATATCCTACAGTTTAGTCTTGAAATAAAACATATCTCAACTGCAACTTAATTTAAGAGTTTTCCAAAACATAACCAAATTATAGTAGTTACACATAACCTTCTTCTTCTTCTTCTTAAGTTTGGTCCCAGCTTGCAGATGGCGTTATTATGACCAGTGCTCTAACAGAGCACTATCCTAGACACTTCCTAGTCCTAGACACTTTGCTGTCTGGCTAGGATCTTTCTGTACTAACGAGAGGTAATACCTCAAAACCGCGGTATGCAGATGATCTACTTGAAGAATTTCAGCATGGTCCTGCTGCCGGATAAACGAGAAACATCTGCGATTCTAGCCTCTGTGAAGAATCTTGCATAAATGTCTGTTGGGTATAATTCAATATCCAGCGTGGTAGTAGCCGGGAAAGTAGCTGTTTTTTTGACAGACGTTTACCACACCCTGCTGTGTAGGTGGTTGGGAGAGATTATTATTTCTAAATATTTATTTCCTTATCCGTTTTACATCTCACCATAAACAAAGTGTCAAATTCTGTCTTTCTACTTTCGAAGTAATTATACACAATAATATAGGACACGTTTTTGTCACTCATTCCAAAGTTATAAAATTGGCTCATTAACTTATTCCTTCACTCACGACATTTTAACTTAACGCCTGACTCAAGATTATTTACTTCTGACTGTTGCGCTACTGACAATGCGAAATATAAATATAAAGTGTTCGAAGTCCTTTAACACAGAACGATTTTACGTTTCTGTGCTGACTCATATCAGTTATAGCTCATCGTTGTTTAACCACTGCCCTGAACGTCTCCTGTTGTTATAGAGGATCCACATTTCATTTCACGTGACAATCCGACCCAAAATAGGATCGTTTTGGTTGCGCAAAGCAAAGAAGAACATACTTCGGAACGTGACAATTTCTGTAGATCGACATCATATAGTTGAAAAGAGGCGAAAAAAAAAATGAACAGCTCAATGTATAGAGTACAAAATCTCTATCTATCACTATACACCACGACACAGTAGAATACATATTTAATGGGTTATGGAGCTACAAAAACACATGACACTGAAACGGACAATTCTTTTGAATCAATCTTTTAAAGTAGTTATTCCGGGAGAACTTTTTTTCATGTAACTCAATATTTATATGAAAATAGTTGTCTCAAGGGGTTAGGTTAGGTTAGGTTCAAAGTCAGTGGGTCAATTTCACCCTCCACCGCAACTAAATAAACCCAGCTTCTTAACGAAGCCGATTAGTTTGTACGGTGAGTGGTCTTTCAAGACAGATGGTAAGAGTACGGCTCTGCCGAACTCTAAAAACCTGATTCAGCCTCCAATAGAGCAGGCACAAAGTATGTGATGTGTTTCATCAATTTCCAAACAGAGGCGATACATACTGTCTTCCGACAGTCTGAGTCTGCATATGATGATTCAAATGACAGTGGCCTGTAAGAAGGCCTGTTAGACATTGTAGTTCATCCCTACTGTAGTCCAACAACTGTTTGGTATCAAGCTTCGAAGGGTGAATAAAGCCTTGGAGTGAGCCAATTCTGGAAGATTCTGCAAGAAGTCCATAAATCTTCTTGCCATCCAAGTGTTCAATCTCTGTTTGGCCAAACCTAAAGCGATGAAGCTGCTTACAGCACCCTCCTTTGCAAGAGCAGCTTCATGGCCTTTGTCTCAAGAGGGCTTTTCCTTCCTGTTTGTGCCTGAAAGTTGGTTCTTTGTGGATATTTTTTTTTTGAAATTGATGTATCTGTTTCCTATGTTTGGGAAAGAGGTACATTATTTATTCATTTATCAAACTGCAAAGCCAATTTACAAAAACATATTTAACATATTAGCATTTTCAATTGATTTCATTTCGTTGAATAACTCAACATAAAACTTAGCATTTTGAGACTTTTGCCACAATTTCTGATACCTGAAGGTTGAAATTGTTTTCGCAATCGAATTTAATTTCTAGATTGCGAATAAATGTTTCTCTTTTAAGATTTATATTATTCAATTTATATTGAAATAATATTGGATTCTAATTTTAGCGAACGTAATGATTTGACATTTATCGATATTTAGCTCTAACAAATTATTTCTACACCACATGGAAAAGGCTTTGAGATGTTTTCGAACTAATCTGGCATCTTCCCGGCAAGTAATTGCTCGATAAAGTTTGAGATCGTCCGCAAACATAAGAAATTCTGAATATTCGAAGACAAACTCTATGTCCGATATAAACAAGTCGAATAGCAGTGGGCCCATATGGAATCTCTGTGGTACCCCTGATGAAACCTGAATGGGCGTAGATGTTGTATTCCGTATTTTACAGACAGAGTTCTATCATTTAAGAAGCTATTGATTACCTACTTGCAAACTACTCCTGCCTATACCACGCACTTGAATTTTAGCTATATCTAAGTATGCCGTGGTTGACTGTGTCAAAGGCTTTGGAAAATTCAGTATGGAGAGAGTTGTTAACCTGTAGCCTCTTCTCGAGATTTTTAGTTAAGTAGTTTGCGCAAAGAGCAATGTTGGTACAAGTGGATTTATTTTACGAAGTAGAAAGCTAAAACTTTTCTTTCCCAAAGACCCAAAGGTCTTTGGGTCTTTGGGTGTTCAATCTTTGTTTGGCAAAGCCTAAAGCGATGCCAATGACAGGTTCTGGTCAGATGGAGCTGTTTGCAGCACCCTCCTTTGCAAGGGAGTCAGCAGCCTCATTGCCTTTCAGGAAAGTATGGCAGGAATCCAGACCAGAGATAATCTGTTAAGTCTTCCTATCGCGGAGAGTCGTTTTTGGCAATTTGCTACCAATTTAGACGTTGCCCGGTAGGAGCCAAGAGCTTCCAACGCCTCTTGACTATCCTAGAATATTTTTATTGACTTGTGTATGAGGTTGGATTGTTCCAATTTCTCCGTACACAATTCATTAGCGTACAGTCGCATAGGTCGCAGAGGTTGATACCTCTGACCTGGGTCTGCAACTGAAAACACCTGCACCAGAAGCGGAAGGTGTTTTTGATCCATCTGTGAACCAACAACTATCTGCTCGTAATATTTCCTTCTCCCGGAGGATCCAGTCCTCTCTACTCGGGAACAGTATTTTATAAGGCAGTTCGTAGTTGACAGTTGGAGGTATACAGTCAGAGGTCATTTCCAGAATGCTGTGTCTTCCAGTGTCAACCAACAGTCTGTTGCACTCTGTATTAAATTGATTTGTGCAATTGGCAATGTGCACAAGTCTATATGCAGTCCATCTAGCCTCTCTCTGTAAAAAAATGTGGAGAGGGGTTAGCTCTAGAAGGATCTCTATTATAAATCCAAAACGCTAACAAAGTGCTCAGAGTTAATTTTGTGATTTCGTGGCAAATCATAAAGAAATCTCTCGAAATTTTACAAAAATTCCGGCTTCAAACTCTGAATAATGTGAGTTATGAGTAAGATCAGGTTAGATTAGTTGAATTTTTAGTATACTGAATGAAATCTTCATGATATTTTGGTGGTACATATTCATAAAGAACCCATAGGCGTCTTCAAAGGATTCTGCTAAATTTTTCGAATCAATTTGTCAAGTCAATGATTAAAACCCAACCTTTGTACTTCGTAGAATTCGAATTATCTTATCAGATTATAAATTATATTGTATCGACAAGTAGACACGTTTTGAGAAGAAATTGTAGTCTGTAGTTGAAATGAATCTAACGAACATGAAATTCTTCAAGATTTTATTAATATTGAATGGATTTTTATTAACTAAAGGGGATAACACCACCAATGTAGACGCTTGTAAGTAGTCCATTTAGACTTTGTATACATGTTATATGCGAATTAACGTCTCACACGTATTAAATTACAAGCGATAACAGCTTCCTGCGAAAAGTGCTAATTGTGCATCAGTATCAGCAAGATGAACACTTGTGTTCTAGACAAAGCAATTGCTGACACTGTTCAAATATTGTTTTTCACATCGAACATATAAATAGACCCTGCGAGGTCAAAAAGACGTTCATTAACGATTTAATCATTCTCCAGTATAGTTCATCATCAATTACTCATTCTCAATTGTTAATGTTCCAAGTTTTTCATATTATATTCAAATAAAGTGTTTATAAAGAAATAAACCAATTTTTAAAAAGTGAATTGTGAAAAACAAGATACATACATTGTATTGAATTTACGAACAATTTCGATAAACCTAAGAATGTGACACCTATTTCGTGAACTCTATAGGTGTTCTATAATATGTAATACATTTTTACCCTAGTTTGAATGCATAAAAACAATTATTAATTTCAGGCACATCATCATATACCGTACTACCGATAGTGGCTTTGCATGCTGATGGGTACCCGACATGTACGAAACAGCCATGCGAAGTGATTCCAGGGACAAATTTACACTTGGATCTCAATTTCACCTCACGTAAGAAGATTTTTTAACTAATATATAGTTGTGAAAAATCTTCCCTACTCTTAACTTTCAAACGGAACAAGATACCAAGGTCTGACAAAGTTCACGAAAAAAAAACTTTCAATAATATAAATCATAATGTGGCAACATTCGTCGTTGAGAGGGCGCTACCATTGCTACCAACTTTTATTTTTAAATTAAGGGTGAAGGTTTTTTTAATCAACCTGAAAACAAACGATAAATTTCGTCATTTCCAGAAAAAATGTATTCAAAACTTAGCCCAGCAAATAATTCAACGCACTGCAAATTATGTGTTGCATCAGTCGTTGTTGTGATACATTATCTCTAACGAGACAACTTCAGACACAACACATTTTAACAACATCCGTCTCAACGCTTGTCCGCAAGGTCTAGGAATTGCCCGCTTGATCACCTGATATGAGGCCTTCAGATTTTTTTGGGAGGATACGTGAAATATAAAGTGAATGTTTTACAGTCGTAGTCCATTCCACAACTCGTGGATAAAGTAAAATGTGCTCGAAAAGAAATTATCCAAGAAATATTTCATAATGTAAGGAATGAATTAGTAAACATACTTTACTTTACATTTCATAATTGTAAGGAAGTGAATAGCCATCATTATGAACCTACTAGCCGAGATTTCGTTCTTTCTGATCGTGACTCCGGCTGTGAAAGGCCAGAAAGGTTATTTCATAAGGAATTCAACCATCTGCCTGCTTACTAGGTAACCTTTTGTTTTGGCGCCCTCTTGCGGGAAAAATAATGTAACCAAAGGCGTTTTATGGCGCTTATGTATTCAAAACGTAGTCGTCTGTGATTCAATTACATTCATTCCGGCGTTGAAGCGATGACGTTACTTCAACTATGCTTTGAAACGTATTCATGATGCTTCAAAACTAGCGTGAGGTTTGTTTTGAAACGGAATTTGACGTTACGTTACGTCAGTTGTCAGTTTCTGCTTTATTTTGATCAAATGATCAATAGAATGAAAAATTTTCTATTTTTATCCAAGCTCGCTGTCAAATAAAAATGAAACTTAACAATATGTGTATTTTTTCTAACCGGAAAGTATTTCAATTCGAGGAGCAATCAAACGCATAGCGCATGCGTGAAGTTTCATGAAAAGCATAGACAATACGTAAAAGGAATTGACAGCTGTCGTAATTTTCTTCTTCCCGTTTTTAGCTGTATTGGTCTTGGCTACCAGAACTAATCAGTGAAACGATATGAATATCTTCATCAGATTTGAAACTGAACATTTCACGTTATTCTTCGAAAGATGTGCAATATTTACTACACAGTATAAAACAGCGCAACATGTAGAATTGTTCAACACAGAGCAACACTGATTATGGGACTACCTGCATTCGATTCTTGAGAAGTTTTCGAGACGAAATCGAGAATATCCCTAGTGATCATGTCATGTCCGTATTGATTTTACGAATCGGATCATGTACTGCAATTATGAAAACGGTGAATCGACAAAAATATTGTATTTCGTATTTCTTGTAGGGTTTATGAAAATCATTCCAGTATACGACGTGTTGCTGTCGAGGATTCCCGATTCTTCAATGTAATCATTGTAATGTAAATAATTCTACTAAATCCCCTTCACTGATCAGTAATGTAGGGCAGAATCGAATACTCAGTCGTTGAATCTAGATTCACGAGAACTGTACTTAATCGAATACTTATCCGAGAACCACTAATCTAGAACTGAGATCCACGTGCGAGTACTTGAAGCTCTTCAGCGATGACCGTGGCATTCCACTCAAGAGAGGAAAAATACCTGAGTCTATGTAAAAATTAATCATTACATACATTCAAACAGGTCGCCGCCGGTTTCCGATCAGATTCGGAAATCATCATGTGCTTGATGCTCGTACATGTGAAGTTCTGGAGGCCTGGTTCTCAAATGGGTATTCGATTTTTGAAAGGTTTATTTTGGTTTTGTATTTCCAGTTGTTCTGAATGCATCACTAATTGAAATTTGAAATGCTGAAGGACTGGAGATAGTAACACACAGTAGGTCGGTTGCGTAAGGTATTTTCCAACGTGATATTTAGTGAAAGGGACCTGCAGGAGGAGTAATCTACGGTCCTTTCAGCGATATTCAAGTTTTTTATTCGATAAGATAGACCTCTGGTTGCTTTGGAGGAAATAATCAGCATCGAAAATTACATTTTTCGGAAAATGCTGTGATCTGTCTATCCGCCGTGTTTTTGAGTTTTCTTTTCCATTTTCTCACGAACAAAAAGAGATTTCAACTCGAAATTTTCACCATCTATTAAAGTGACGAGGGTATAAATCCCACTATATTTATACTGAAATCGTAATATGGGAAAGTCGTTTTTGCCGGCTTTCTTCCCATTAAAGCTCTAAAATCTCCAAAATGACTATGGGTATCGAAAAATTTCATATGACCATAGTTGATTTCTACAAAAAAGGCCGATATGGCGAGAAACAAATTTATAGTTTTTTCATTATTCCCGAAACGATACTAAATTGAGAAAATTGTTGAATAGCAATTTTATTCAACACTAAAAAAGAACTAAAAAAATTATGAACGGTTTCTCCATATCTGTTATTTAAGAAATTGTAATTTTTTCGTGGAATTTTCGGCATCATTTACCTCGTTGGATTTATAGTTTTGGACTCAATTCTTCAAGTTGCCTTCTGGAAATTGGTGACAAGTTGGAACTAAAACCTAAAAATCGAAAAACTTTTTGATATTCAGTCATAGTTTATACAATAGTTTTTACGGAATCGACTTGAAACTATTATTCGGTCTACGTTCGGTCGTATTATTCACATAATTTGTTACCAATGTCCTAAAGTAACTTTTATGCTTTTCCACTTCTATGGTCTTAAACTCTTAACTCCTACGTTCTTCAATTTCTGGGGTAGTGAGTCTTGTATTTCTACAGGATCCTACAAGTTATTCGGTACTTATTGTAATGTAAATATTTTTTAAGCATAGCTGAATTTACAATTTTTTGTAAATATTGTACTTTTCCAAGTTATTTGTCGTTACGACAAACCGAATGCACTTTCAGGTACTATCATAGTGAATAGATATTTCATGTTTTTTTGCGATTGAACACCTTCAGTGTTTTGCCCAGTTATACAGGGTGTTCATTAAACATGCGGCAAAAAATTATGGGACTATTCCTTGGACTATTCTAAGGATATTTTGTACTTTGATGATTTTTGATATGGCGCCTTGTTTCGAAGATACGGGGCGAAGAAGAATTTCGACAATAACAATTTTGGTAATTTAAAAATCATTAACGTAGTCGAAATGAAAGTGTAGCGTACTACACTGGACCTACCAAGTAATAAAAATCTAATAATTCCGTTGGTACCTATCAACAACATTCCGATTAGATCAACGACTTCGTGAAGCGATATTGAGGAGCAGAAAGTCCATTGACAGTAAAAACGGTAGAAGTAGAATAGATTTGAATTGAAGGGGTTATATTTTTAGGAGTGATTAATTTTTGTTTCGCCTTAGGACACTTGCCCTAAGGCTCTTCAGTACCAAATTGGACAACATTATAGAAAATACATCGATGTATACCAGTGAGGATGACAGTGTTCCATGTAAGTGCAATTTGTTACCACTCATTTGAAGTATAACTCATGTGAATGATATCTGATTTTTATTCCACAACGAATGTTTGAAATACAAACTGAGTAGAGAAAAGTATCTTCTGTATAATTCAGTGTTCATATAAAAGTATTTGTGTCGAAAGATTTTTTTTCTTTCGTGTAATTCAATGTTTATATGAAAGTAGCTGTTTCAGGAGGACTTTCTCGCAGTTTGTGTCTGAAAGTTACTTCTATGCATGATCTACACATCCATGTATAGAGTTACTTATTTTCAAATTGATTACTTCCTTCCTTTCTTTGGAAGATTCCCTCATCCTTTTTTTTGTATCAAGATGGAGTAGTAGAAAGCCAAAAACTTTCTTTACCAAAAATAGAATAGATTGTGCTGGCCATGATAGTAGAAGATCCAAGCAGTCATTTTAAACAGTTCTTGTAGATTAATGTAATTTTTGGTAATAAATGGTTATTGTCGAAATTATTTTCGTCGAAAAATCATCAAAAGACAAAATATCTTTAGAATAGTCCAAGGAATGGTCCTTTGAACTTTTGCTGCATGTTTAATAAACACCCTGTATAATGTTTTCGTATAGTAAGTTGCTTGTTCACATCAAATACGTTTTTTTTACAAACTTCACAACTAATTTTTAGATATTTAACATAAAATTTGATGTTTCAGCTGGGTATTTGGAACATATCAAACCGGTAATAGAAGCTACAGTATTCAATCAGAAGGTACCTTATGATCTAACTCAAACTGACGCTTGCAGTGGTATTTTAAATACGATGTGTCCCTTAGTTGCAGGAGAATCAGTATTCTACACAGTATCTCTTCAGTTGTTGCCATTTCTGCCTAAGGTAAGTATTATTAGGTTGTTTCAAAAGAAACCAGCTTCAATTCAATGCCACAAAAATCCAGGCATGGGTTTTCTCCTAAAAGATAAATGTCTCCGAACCGGATATAATAATGTCCGGTCAGACAATTACGCTTTCTGCTTCGATAAGTTTGTTGGCGGTTAAAATGGACACCAATATGTCTTGGCACAATCATGTCGTTGGAATTGCAAAGGCTGCTTCTCGAAAGCTTGGAACACTGTTCCGAACCAGAAAACTGTACACACCTCTACAACTTTTGATGCTGTACAAAGCTCAGATCAGACCTTCTTTGGATTGTTGTTCTCATGTATGGTGCTCCGCCACTAAACATACCCTGAAGCTGCTGGATTCTAGTGATTCTAGTGTTCAAGTGACTTGGCATATTTGATTCCACCAAGAGCGGTACATAATATCAGAAATACGCGACGGATTATGACTGCTCATCGTTTTGAGACTTCAAGATGAAAATTCCGGTTGTCGGAGGGAGTATAACCGTGGAACGGACCAATTAGGATGTAAACTCGAGTTGATATATATCTTCACAGGTCCACTTACTACTCCAAACGAATTTGTGCCGCGAAAAGAGCTTTTCACTGCTGTTACCTTATCATTTCCGAAAGTTAACTTGTCGGGCCGAAGCTCTGACACATTCGGGAAGGCAAGCCAGCATTTTTAGAGAGATATCGGTAAAATGAATAGCGCCTGTTAACGTTATTAACGACCTGCGATAATGGTTTTACGTTAAGCAGTATTTGAATTTTATTTAACACTTATCGGAAGCGATGTGACGTTTTACCGTGCCTTGATCAACCCGCGCTATTCGAAAATGTCACAACCTAGCTTTACGGTTTATTGTTATTGTATCTCGTCCTCTGAAATTATAGTATGATGATGATCATAATGATAATAATGTAATTTCATTTCAATGTTCTTGTCAGTTTTCTTAACTTCCACTAGAATATCTACAATGGATGACGATCTTGAAGCGATAATTATTGGTGGTGGAAATGATCAAGACATTGAAGCCGCTATCTCGATGAATATTATAAGGGATCAACAAGATGTTGATGCTCAGCAACAGCGTTTCAGTTTAAACGAGGTACCAGATGAAAACTGTAAATTTTTGCTTAGGTTTGAGAAAGATATTTATAGATTGTTTTTATGTGAAGTGCACAAGAACAAAGAACAACTAAAACAAACTTATATAACCTTCAACTTTTGAATAAGAAACTCTGCGCAAGCCCAGCAGGCGTTATTTCAAATATCGTCTGTCGTTATTCCCCGTAAATTAGGGCTGGCGGTAACGTTATTTAGGGACGTTGCGTTAAGAATCGAATCGCGCATGTGTTAAATGTCAAAATTACATATGCGCTAATCCTGCCTGACGCTATTTGGGTTACTGATATCTCTCTATTAATCAATGACCACGCTCCACATCGTGAGGTAAGTGACCATTGGGCTTCATATTCATGTACCCTGGGCAGGCGCAATGAGCCGAGAATGAAAATAATGAACTATTATTGAAGTTATACTTCTTCTGGTAGGTCAGGTAAAAATGATGAGAGTGAATTTTCACGATGCGCGCACACACCGTCACGAAAAACTGACACCTTCAAGGTAGTTTCTTCTTCTTCTTTATTTATGCACTCCTGTCCATAGTGAACAGAAGCTTCGATCAAGACGCAGCCGTCTGGCTTAAGGCAATGCTGCCACCCTGAGATTTCTCATTCACTTTTTCTTTTATAAAAACACTTAATTTTTTTACTAGGGGGCGCTGCGGGTCCTCTCAGTATAACTTTCACAAATGATATATCTATTATGGAACTGACGACCCCGTCGACATCCAGCCTGGTTACTGGCGAAGGGGGGCGCTAGTCCTATCGAAATGTCATTCAGCTCAATATTTATTCGAACTTGACTTAATTTTTCGAAAAAACACCTCACTTCTGGACTCTACTCAAATAATATATCGCGGGACTGATATTTTTTAACAATTTATTGATTCAAAGATAATTTAACGTGATTATGACTGATAAAAGCTGATTAACGGAAAAAGATATTTTTAAACAGATTTTAAAAGTATTATTACTTTGAGTACGTTTGTAGAATTTGAGGATAGTTGATGGTATGTATCATTTATTTACATCATAAATACATTTTTATACTATTATGCAATATATTATACGTGTACAAATAAATTAATAATAGATTCAAATAATTATTATTAAACGCCGGAAAAATTTAATTTTTCCAAATATTGAATAAAATTAAATGTTCCTTAAAGTCTTAAAATGTCAAATAATAAAAATTATCATCAGGTTGTTCCATACACAGTACAACATGACGATAGTATCAAAATAAATTTTAATAAACATTTGGAATACATGAATGAGGAAGAAAGTGATACAAATCGTGAAATTATGAAACATTGGCGCTCCGGGGCGACTTTATTGATTCTAGTTTCGCATTTGCTTTTTCAGCTGCAGGAAAACCCGGAAAAACCTGCAGCCCTACATCATCTGAAGATCTTGACCTGCCAATGCCTCTCTTTCATAAAGCAAAATGTAGGGTGTCTCCAGAGGCTCCAGAAAAAATAAACTTAAACGAATAATCAAATAAATCACACCGAGAAATAATTAAAAAAAAAACGAAGTATCATTTCTTACGTGTGTACATGAGTACACACACACACACTCTTTTATTATTGTTATTATTATCTATCTTGAATCGAGATATAAATATTTTAAAGTGACATGTCTTGATACCTTCTTTGTTTCAGGTATCCGTTGGATTGGAGTTTTCTATTGTCAATAAAGACACAGATGAAGCAGTTGTCTGTTTCAAAATGAATTTGCTAGTCAAGTGAAAAATGAGTTATCCACAGTTTTCAAATTGATTGATGATTACAACTTTTATGAAATTTTTTTGTTTGAATATTTTCATCAATTACATTTATTTTTTCACAAATGAGCTAATTGTTTTTTATAATTGCATTTTTTAACAATTTTTCTCTTCCACAATCTAAAAAAAAATAAAATTTCAATGGGAGAACTCTATACAGTATACAGGCGCCCTGAAAGGTGCAACTGGCTCAAATGTATGTCGGATATAATTCAATGTCCGTCGTGGTATTTCCCGGGAAGTAGTCATTTTTCGTTAGGCATTTGACACATTTTACTGTGTAGGGACGTTGGAAGAGGTGAAAGTTTTGAATTTTCATCTCGAAATATTCATTTTCTTCATATGTATGTCCATATATATCTCTAATCGACACAATTAGACTGATTTTGATTTCTATTAGAAACATTAACAATAAGTTCGGCTACCAATCCGCGGAATATGAAAAATTCTGAAACTTTACTAGCATCTGTAATGAGTTCATTATTTCGTATGAGTGTGAACTGATGTATAGTCGAAGTAAACGGTATTGTGCATAGTTAAAGCTGCCGGCGAAAAACCAATATAGAGGAATAAAGCCGCGCTAACTAGCCCACGTGGACTGCAGACTTGGCGGTTCGTATTGGATGATATTTACTAACATAATTTTATGATTGGCTGAAGAATCATAAAATTAAATTTGAAGTCATGTTACGGCGACGAATAGAATGCGAGGATGGTTATAAGAGTCGCGTTGTCAATGTTTAGATCAGGAACTAATCGCGATTTGAGTGTTGAAATTCGTTATTGGTGCACTTATAATGTGGTGTCCTTGGACAAGTACTAATAGTAATAACGAGTGTGATAAACACGCATACTTTTTCCTGAGTAGTGATTCCAATAGCGATGGTGAATAATGCGAAAAAGGGATACCAGTGAATAAGATTCGGATGCATTTGAATATTGAAACACAGAGAGTATGTTTCAATTTATATAAGAATCTACATCTCATGTTTGGTTTCGAAGGAAACAAACTATTACAAGCAACATCAGATTTGACCGAAATTCCTATCTCAACTGTACGTAAAATAGTCAAAAACAAACCTTATGAACGCAAGAAGCGATGTGATACGGGATTACTGAAACGTTTAGATGTTCAATCAATAAAATCATTGAAAAAAAAAACAAAATACGAGTGTTACAAAAGCAATGAGATTCCTACAATTGAAATCATAAGGAAGAAATTGAATACTTCCGGCCATAACGAGAGCTGCTGTGACAAAATTCTTCAGAATTGGATAAAGAAACTAGGATTTAGATTTAAAATAATAAACAAACGTCAAACAGTTATGGAAAGCAGAAGAATAGTAGAATTGCGTAACAAATACTCAGAGCAAATAACTAAATATAGACAAGAACAACGACAAATTTTCTATTTGGACGAAACTTGGTATGACACTCACGACACAGTTACGAAAGGGTGGAATGGTGGTTCGAGAATGCGTACGCCTTACATGCCTGCAAACAAAGAATCGCGACTAATCATTTTGCATTGCGGAGGAAGTAAAGGATGGGTTCCAAATTCTTTGAAATTATGTGGAAAAAAACTTGAGGACTGCAATGTTGACTATCATAAGAACATGGAAGCTAATATTTTTGAGGAATGATTTAAAAACACATTGATCCTAAATTTGGATGTGAATAGTGTAATAGTTCTTGACATCGCTTTCTATCATTCGCGACAGCGAATGGAATGGATACATTTGATAAGAAGGTGATAGAGCTAGTTGAAGAAGAATTGTCTAATATTAACTAAGACGACTGGCAGAAAATGATTAAAAAAGTAGTTTCAGTTGAAGAAGACTATATGGAGATTGGACACTTCCTTATTAATGGTGGTAATGAATTCATAATTGATTTAAATGACGACAGTGATAGGGAAACAGAGAATATGGAATAGGAATTATCAGAAGCTTTCGAAGAAAATTAGTGAAGTGTTTTTGAAGCGATCGATTGTATGTATATGTGAGTAAGTAGTATTCAGAAGTATTTTCAATCATCACCCTGTTATTTGAATCCCTACTTTCCCACTGGTAGAACCTTCGCAAATCAGGACCAGGCAAAAACGGCTTTTGTCAACTTCATCGAATCCCGATTTTTATTCTGACGGAATTATTCGACTTGTGTTACGTTGGCAAAAGTACGATGATTCAAATGACGCTTATTAAAACTGAGAAAACTCTCTGTCTCTAGTCTCTGTTTGAAAGATCTAGCGCAATGGTTTCAAAGGGGGGGGAGACTGGGATATAAACATCAAATGATATAAATTTAGCGTTATCTGAAAGAACTAGGTTTTTAATGTTATTCACTGATTGATATGCATTATTTATATTGAATCGCGGTTTGAAATGGGTGTAAGTTTTGATTAAATGTATGAGAATTTCTGGTATTTTTACGGGTGCCGTTACAAACGACACCACCGGTTTGATTTGAAAATTGTATTACAAAAACTTACAAGATACCACTTTGAATAATAATTTATTTTAAAAATTTTGAAAATATATTGGGATTACATCGATTCATATAGAAGATAAGTGAATATCACCTGTTCAAAATAATTTGTATCTCCTGGAAACTTTTACCCTTAGTTTCAGGAATAATGAAAATAATGAACAGAAGGGCTATCGTACAAAATCCCGCGAACAACCAGAAAGTTTCACCCTGTCCCAAAGTAACTCTGAGATCATTGAACAATTTCGTAACTGCAAAAGAAACCACCCACGACATGAAACCTGAAACGGTAGCAAGAAAAAACTTGATATTCGAAGGCAAAATTTCCGAAGTTACTGTATACTGTAAAGGCCCCAATCCGATATTGAATGATACGACATAGATCACCAGGCACAGAATTGGTAGCCAAGAAATATTTTTCACAGAAACTTCGGTTTCGTCCTTCAAGTAAAAGTATAAACCCAGTGTACTTAAAGAAGCGATCACTCCGATTGCTGAACACGACAACAGAAATTTTCTACCTTTCCTGTCAACCATGAGAGGTCCTCCAAAGCTGGCAAGGAATAAAACTATGCCTACTATGAGGGATGCAACGTCTGCAGAAACATTCGTGCCAGCATCCTCAAAAATGATCTCGGTATAAGCTAGAATAGCCCCTAAACCAGAAAGCTGCTGAAAACAGCTGAGTCCGAGAGCTATAATGAAGCCTCTGATGACGTACTTTTTCTTCAGTGTGTTGATAAAATCTCCTTCCTGGTTTTTCAACTTTTCGTTTTTAATTTCCTCGATCTCATTCTTCGCATCAAACGCCAGTTGCCCATGCCTTAGTTTCTTGAGAGACAGCTCGGCTTTGTAGTCGTTTTTGTTCACATAGAAGTAAGGACTCTCTGGTGCCAGAATGGAAAAAGAGATGAGGAACACTAATGGGAATATTGCCAAAATAATATTGAACCAGAAAATGGAAGTATAAGGCCCCATAATGTATGGGACGAGATCGCCAAAACTGGCGAATGTACTATAAGATACCAACAGCATGCCTCTATAGGAATCTTCCGAAATCTCCGCGACGTACATAGGCAGAACGACATAACTAGAGGCAAGGGAGACACCTCCTACGAGTCGACCGAAGTAATACCAATTTATGTTTTTTGCGAAGGCGAATGCTGAGTAGGCGGCCAAGTGAGGTAGAGCTAGAAATAATAATACTGGTTTTCGGCCTATCCTGTCCGCCAAATAACCTACTGGAATAATGCCGCACATCGCTCCAATATTCTGCAAAGAACCGATCCAGGATTCTTCATCGTCGTTGATAGGGTTCCTTAGTGGATTGATGCTGGAATCATTCGAGTGTAGTTTCGGTAGGATTGGTGACGACCATGTTAATGTTGTGTCGCCCGTGAGTGCCAGCAAGTTGCCTGTCAAAAAGTGGAATCGATAATAATTATTTCATCTAATATTCATGGCGCCATTCATGGGAAATTTATTATAAAATTACATACCAGCAAATACGACGATGTACGCGTAATTAATATGCATCACCATTTTTTCTTCTGCCTGAAACTATAAGATACAATTACTGAAATCAAAATTCATTGAAATATTAAATAATCAACAATAAGAAGTAATCAAGAAAGAAATTTCTGGCAAAAACATAGCAATCTGCACTGACAGCAGACAAACCCTATTAGCCTTGAACAGACAACGTATAACCTCAGGGCTAGTACTTGAGTGTCACCAAGATTTAGCCAAAGCCTCGGTAGATAATAACATTATCCTGAGGTGGGTTAAAGGGCACGACAGGAGTAAAGGTAATCGCATTGCCGACTCTTTAGCCAAGGAAGCGGCTGGACTAAGAATTTTAGGACCCAGTGGCACCTACGGCCTGATGACTTCGACAATTGCGGAACTAGTCAAATGTTACACCCATGCTCAATCCTTAAAGAGATGGGATGAAACTGAAGGATGTAATCTTGCCAGGATCACCTTGGGCAACCCTGGGAGCTGGCGCCGAAGAAATATCTGGCGTTGACCAGGAAAAATCTACGCTTAACAATAGGATTTCTGACTGGCCACTGTCAACTAAGGAAACACCTCCATAATATGGGGCTAGTGGACACACCTCTAAGCAGGATGTGTGAACAGGAAGATGAGACTGTCAGGCATGTCCTGTGCGAGTGCCCGGAGTTATCGTCAATAAGAGAGTGTGTGTTCGGCGAGTCATGGCCAACACCTGCCGATATAAAGGAGATGTCTCCTAGTGACCTGCACCTTCCTGGAAAAGACAGGATGAACGATGACCTAGGAGGGCAACTCCTCGGGAGGATGTACAATGGGTCACATGTGGCCTAAGTGCTGGGGGCTTACACTCGCCCTCCCTACTCTACAGATACAGAGAATCAACGGTGTTCTGATGGAATTTTGTAAAGAATCTGAAAATGAGTTTTCATGGATTCTAATAAATTTTCAGTATGATGATTTATTTGACGTGTTCTCGAATTTGTTCGGATGAAATATTTGTTTATTCACCCTTTCGTTCCCATTTTTTGTTTTATATAGTAAATAAAGAAAAATGAGTCTTTTTTGAAAATAACTTTCTGTTTAACGTAAAATTTCGGATAGACTGCGCCCGACGATTTAGAAAATTAATGTGTGTGACGTGCAGATTACGAATTCAAAAGAGGAAATCGGTGCTCTCCCTTATTTCTACAGTTACAGCCCTCCGAAGTTCCGAAACTTGTCAGCCGTCCCTGCACAATACGTTGTCTGGATTTTCATTTTTCTCAGAAAATATTTATTTACTCATCAATTTTTATTTCGTTTCCTTCAAAGTAGTCCCACCCAGGTATACTACACTGCGTTTTTTCCAATCCTCGAAGCAAATATTAGGTAAATAAATATATCTATCTATTTATTTTAATCCCGATATCAGATTAGATTTTCTGAATCTGTAGAGTAGGGAGGGTGAGTGTAGGCCCCCAGCACTTAGGCCACATGTGACCCATTGTACATCCTCCCGAGGAGTTGTTCTCCTAGGTCATCATCCATCCTGTCCTATCCAGGAAGGTAGACAGGTCACTAGGAGACATCTCCTTTATATCGGCAGGTGTAGGCCAAGACTCGTGCTCTTTAACCCACCTAGGGATAATGTTATTATCTAACGAGGCTTTGACTAAATCTTGGTGGCACTCTAGTACTAGTCCTGAGGTAACACGTTGTCTGTTCAAGGCTAATGGGGCTTTTCTGATATCAGTGCAGATGTTTTTGGCTGGTTATCAGATTAGATTATATTAGAATTAAAGGGGTTATATATTTGGAGTGATTAATTTTTGGGAAAGAAAGTTTTTGGCTTTCTACTACTCCATCTTGATACAAAAAAAGGATGAGGGAATCTTCCAAAGAAAGGAAGGAAGTAATCAATTTGAAAATAAGTAACTCTATACATGGATGTGTAGATCATGCAAAGAAGTTACTTTCAGACACAAAGTGAGTCCTCCTGAAACAGCTACTTTCATATAAACATTGAATTACATCGAAGAAAAAAATTCTTTCGAAACAAACACTTCTATATGAACACTGAATTATACAGAAGATACTTTTCTCCACTCAGTTTGTATTTCAAACATTCGTTGTGGAATCAAAATCAGATATCATTCACATGAGTTCTACTTTGAATGAATGGTAACAAATTGCACTTACATGGAACACTGTCATCCTCACTGGTATACATCGATGTTTCGCCTTAAGACAGTTGCCCTAAGGCTCTTCAGTACCAAATTGGATAACATAGAAAATACGCACAATTCATTCATGAATTACGATTTTTAATGTCACGGAATAAGCTTGATCTGCTTATGTCATCGATGACATCGTAATGACATTTATAATGACGTTTCATTATATTGTTTAGATTCGGAAACTTGTGGTTGCATGCCAAGGAATGGTTTGAAAACGTCGAATCATTTTTTTTCTAGTCTGAAGGCCCTTTCATGTTCGGCATACCGTTTTTGGAAATTTCGTCCGCATTGTCCCATATAAACACTATTACACGCCGGACCCTTAAGCTTATAAACTCCAGATTTTTCCAACTTGTCGACCTTATCTATGGCATTGAAAAGGAAGTGAGATAACCTGGTATGTGGAATACCACTTCCACATTGTTTTTTCTGAAGTAACCTGCGATTATTTCTGTTCTCTTTCCAAAATGTGTTAGCGTTACCCATTTCTGGATTTTTGGTTGTTTGACCTGAGGGTATATTTCCGGCTTTGTTTCCTGACTAACTTCTGGATAGTATCTGCGTTGAAACCATTATTATGACCTATCTGTGTAATTATATCAAGTTCCCTAGCTAGATTGTCTGCAGACAACGGCAGTGAGAATGCTCTACATTGAATTGTAGGCTGCTAATTTATGACTGTCTGGATGGAAAGAATCGCTTGGGATAGTGATGTCTGTATAGCTAGGTTTTCTGAAAACATTGAAGTCAAATTTATTCTGATTGTGTGTAATGGCCAGGTCTAAGAAACTCGAAACAGAAATAGAGAAACAGACAAAGCCGGAAGCCAGATTAATATACCCTCAGGTCAAACAACCAGAAATCAAGAAATGGGTAACTCTAACATATTTTGGATAAAAAACAGAGATAATTGCGGGTTTCTTTAGAAAAAATAATGTGAAAGTGGCATTCAGACCACATGCCAGGTTATCTCATTTCCTTTTCAATGCCAAAGGTAAGGTCGACAAGTTGGAAAAATCTGGAGTATCCGGAGTGTAATAGTGTTTATGTGGGACAATGTGGGACAAATACCTCTATTTCTATCAGTACCTACAGGGGCTGTATATAATGGCGAATGTAATGAATCATTGTTAGTTTATTGTATGCGTTTGAAAATGTCCGTATAGGACGAAACTGCAGTAACGTCAGTTACAAATAAAAGTGGTAAAAAACATAGAAATTTTCATTCCTCTTTTCATTCTGAATAATAATTGAAAATAATACCACACGATTTTACTCAAGTGATTCAATGAGTGAATTTTATACTTACATTGAATCATACACGAACGCATCATATAACGGTATTTTAGATATTCGCAATTGTTTGCGAAAATTAACTTTTCTTATCGTGCTGTTTATGTACTTTTATCTCTTTGCTAATTATTCAGTATAATCATGAGTATTTTGCTGATGAGAAATAATGGGTATGAGGAATTTATGTGTCGTGCAGTGGCGTAGCGTGGGTTTTCGCTGCTTGGGGTCGACCGGAAACCCGCCGCCACTTGTTATTTATTATTATAGTAAAATATATATGAATGTATATTTAATATATAAAATTCCACTGTCACAGTGTTAGTCGCCACACTCCTTGGAAACGGCCTGATCGACTTTTATAAAATTTTATATGTATATTCGGTAGGTATGAGAATAGGTTTCAGTCTACTTTTCATACTCCTAAGTGATAAGGATGCTCCACCCGATTAAAAAAAAAATTCCGACATTTTGTTTGTTTCAATATTTTTATGATGTGACATTGAAAAATACATATAACCTCCAATTTTTACCCTTCTATCACCAACTCCTATTTTTAATAGCCATATTAGTAATTTAATCATTGTCATTCCCGCCAGGCATCCATCGATGTCATTTCTCACTCAGTATACAGCACGTAATAGGGATGAGAACGATCTCTCTCACACAATAAGCCTTGTCTCACTCCCTACACAGTTTTCGGCAACTATTATTGTTTATCAGTTTGCGATGCCACCGAAGCTGTGAATTATCCAACAGAGTTTTGCCACCGCATAATTTACAATTGAAGGTTGGATTGCTCCGTAATTTGAAACCACCGCTGCAGTTTGTGGACTAAGGAAAAATATTGTACACAGTATAGCATCAAGGGATTGATAATATCTATTTGTGGGTGTTATTGTCCCGATAGAAATAATTTATGTGGCAAAACAACAATGTTCGGAGAAGTTTTCGCGTTCAGCAATTTGATGTAGGTATCTACTGTCGTCCGAGTTGAACCGCGTTCATTTTTTCGACGTTTCGGCTCGGAACGGAAACAACATGACTCCAGCACGGGGTCGTAATCTCCTTGAGCCCCAAGTCTTGTGACTGGCTCCAAGTGAACACTGATCACTTCGTTATTTAGGCCACTATTTATGCTGTTGGACAGGTATAAAGTAGAGGTATCGTAATAGCTACCGGTCTGCAGGAAATGGATTCTTGACTTCCTGTTTGATGTAAGTTTTTTTTGGTACCTTGGGAGCTATCTGACTGTCCATTTAGTCTAAGTCTCCAGAAAACACTGCAGCTTATTGCGTTTATTCTCCCATCTTCTCATGACACTCATTCCATCAGTGTCGTTTCCTGTACTAGTTTGTACAGGTTCCGTGTTGGATGTTCGTCATATTCTTCTGGACGTAATTTCTTACGTCCATATATTGCCTGCCTCCTGTGATTCAGTGCCTCTCATTCTCATATGATGTGTAGAGCTGTTTCTGTCCCTTCGTTGCATAATCTGCAGCTGAGGTCTCCGTTGTACAACCCCATTTTATTCAGGTTTCCTCTAAGCGGACATTAACCGGTTAGTAACCCTGTAATTATTCTGAGCCAATCCCTACTATATTGAAGTAGTTCTTCGGTTCTTTTCTAGGACGGTTCCCTAATGAAGGTTCTACTGTGTTTGTTGCCATATACTTTTGTCCAGTACTCTGTGTGCTTCTTATTGGTCCATGTCCTAATCTGGTTTCGTACCAATGATTTTGGTACCCCCCGAGCTGGTTCAGGACCAATGTATGAAGTTGATGATCCATGTCTAGCGCATTAATCAGCTTTATCATTACCTGTGATTCCTGAATGCCCTGGCACCCAGTACAAAGTTAATTAGTTCCTGTTTGCAAGTTCATTCAGTTCTTAATGGTATTCCCAGACCAGTTTTGATGTTACCTTCGGGTTTGTCAGAGCCCCTAGTGCGCTCTTGCTGCCTGTAAAAATATTGATCCGCTCATTTCTTTGAGGTCTCAATTCAATAAGCCTTGCACACTGCAAGATAGCATACACTTCCGCCTGAATGACGGATGTGTATAGTCCTAGCGGATAGCTGTAGTTTAAATTTCTATTTGCTTGGTATATTTTAGTTCCCGTTCCATGTTTGGTCTTCGATCCATCTATATACCAGGTGTTTTTCCAAACATGTTTTCGGGATGACTAATGGCCTTCCACTCTTCACGGCTTATGATTTTGGCCGTGAAGGTTGTGTTGAAGGTGTACTTCGGTGTCATGTGGTCCGTGCACATATTCAATGTGTGCTCCTCCACTTGTTCCGAAATTTTTGTTCGGTCCGATCTTTTATATTTCGGTGAGTTTTCCAGTCTGAATTGGCCCATCCTGGCCCCCCATTATCACAAAGTGTAAAGGAGGTAGATTCAGGAGTGTCTCCAATGCAGCTGTTGGGGTAGTTCTCATTGCTCCCGTCATTCCCATTGGCGTAAGTTACTTTAAGATATCTTGCGAGACAACAATAACCTCCATGATTGCGGCAGTCTTTGCTAATCATCTCGCTTGTTAAGCAATTTCAATGGCTTCATGAATTATTCTGGCCTGAAGATGTTTCTTCGTAGCAATGGTTTTGGCGTTTTCGAAGCTTATTGTGTGGCCTGTTTCAAGGTGATGTTTGAAGAGGAATGAGGCTGGATCTGATTTGCGAACAGCTATAGTCCGTTCATAATTTGTTGATAGCTCACTGCAAGTTTGACCCTCATTAGAGAACTGAAATACAGAGAGGACAGCTAATATGATATAATAACAAAAACCAAACTAAAACTGGCAGTTTAAGATGTTTTCGACTAACCCACCTTGTATCTGAAGAAATACAATACAGCTATAAAACTTTTAATCCGATTATGTAGGTATTTTGAGTGGAAATGAGTGACCAGTGTCGTAGAGTATATGATTAAAACATTAGTTACTTTAAATAAATAAATATATTAATATTCTTAAACTGTAGGTACTGTAAACTGTATTTTTATTTANCGAAAGGTACGTATATGTTTGTAGGAATATGAAAAAAAGTTACTCACGCACTGCACAAAATTCGCAAAATAAATATTAGAGACGTTAATTACTGCCGTAGACGCCGAAACACCAACGAGCCGTAAATTAAATGCGATTAAAAAATGTACTAAACCAAAAATTATTTTCGTTCGTAACAACTTCACCCTTTCAAGGCAAGTTTCGAATATAAACTGAAGCTTTATATTTAATGAATAAACACCTCAGGAACCTCCGCCTATGATTTCACGAGTTTTACGACCGTTTTATGACTTGAGCCCTCATTTTGTGCTATCGACAAATTATGAACGGACTATAGTTAATTTTCATAGGGTCTGGTCTGGGGCAGTTAGAACATGGTATTTCTTATATGCCCTATGCTTCATTGCGTATCGTGTCCTTGAGTGTTCGTAAAAGAGTGGAGATTTAAGATTTAATTGTTGGCTGTGAATATTTTTTATAATAATAATAATATGCCCATATGATGTTCTTTGGGCAAAATATTGTCCAAAGAACATCAGGTCTTATTGACAAAGCTGTAAATTATACAGTTGACAAAATAAATTAGAGAAAGCTGTCTCTTCTAAAGTATGATAAGTCTTTTACTGCTTTTCGAAATACGCAGTTATCCTCTAAAATTATAATATGGTCAGGTGGATGATTGAACATCCTGAGACCATTATAATATATAGAGTCTTTGACTAGAGTAGAGGATATTATGGGTAATCTTAGGTCGTTAGATTGGCAAAGGGCATAATAATTGGAGTAACCGCTAAATATCAATTTATGTTTGTTAATTAAACACACTGTTTCTAGAATAAAGATTACAAAAACTGTCAAGATTTTATGTAATTCAAATAGGGGTTTGCAGGAGTCTCGACTTTTTGCATTGCACATGAATCTTATGGCCCTTTTATGAATAATGAACACCGTCTGGATTTGACTTCTGCAACATACTCCCCAGAAACGAATTCCATACCTTAAATGTGACTCAACAAGTGAGAAATAAGCCGATTTAGCAACAGGTAAACCAATATCCTTATAAGTTATTCTCACTGCAAAACACCTTTTTATTGAGGGTTACAATGTGATCGGCGAATTTGAGTTTATTGTCAATTATTACCCCTAAAAATTTCGTACTAGGTCTGTTTTCAATTATCCTGTTCTCGTCCTGTGTTAGTAAAGGAATGCTGTCAATAAATCAGCGGAATTATATTAAATTTGTTTTGGAAACATTGAAAGACAGCGAATTAGAGTCGCACCACTTTTTATTTTTTTATATCTGCACTTAAAATCTCGTGGAGATTAAATAAAGTTTTATCACGCCATAATATTATGGTGTCATCGGCGAATAGGGTAAATTTTCCTTCTCTATTGATAGATGCTAAATCGTTTATGTATAGCAGGAAAAGTATCGGTCTCAGTATTGAACCTTGTGGTACGCCTTTTTTCATTTCGCCTTCTGATGAGGATGATGAGGTTTTCACAATCTGACTTCTTCCTGTGAGATAATTCTCGAGCCACTTATGAGTAATTCCAGGGATGTCATAGTGATATAGTTTTTTTAGCAGTATACCATGATCTACACAGTCAAATGCTTTAGCAAAGTCACGGAACACTGCTGCTGATGACTCTTCTTTATTAATGTTTTCATAAACGTCATACAACAAAGAAAAGATAGCATCATGAGTGTTACTTTGTCGGTAACTCATTGGATGTAAGGAAGAAAAACTTTTGTCTGTTTATTGGGTAATTCGGGGTGTGGTGTTTGGGGCTATCTATCGCGCTGTCGTTGAATGGATCTTTGGATTTGGGATACGGGATAGTCGTTTTGATGAAGGACGGCCTTTGTGATCCATCGTTTTGAAAATAACAAAAGTAGTATCACTCTTATCACAATAACTCACAAACTTATGAGTTGAATATCATAAAATTTCAACAGCTTTTCTTTAAAGGTTGGTAATAATTGAATAAGCGGTGAATGCATAGCGCCATCTATGTGTTAGGCCCGAACCTTTTCTGCCCATGTAGTGGAATATGAACGAGTTAAAATTTCACTCACAAGGAGCACTGTCATTGTTAATGGGGGACATCCGATATTTCGGAATAAAACACTTGCCTTATACCATGTATTGAATCAGTGGTGAAAAAATATGTTTTTGGAATTTGGTTCACAAGTCTTCTCTCAAGATCCTCTTCTATTCAGCTCATACGATTCTCTTACAGGTAAAGGGTTATTTCTGTTCAGTTTGAAACATCAAAATCTTTGTTTTTTATTGTTTTTATATTGGAACTCCATGATGAAGGCTTTCTGATTTACTTTCGAATGATATCGATAGCAAGATCATGATGAAGGGAGCAAAAGAACATTGAATAATTTATTGAAAATATTTTGAGACATAACTGGAAAATACATCGAATTATATTCTATAAAATGAGTAAATATCACCTGTTTAAAATACTTTGTATCTCTTGGAAACTCTTGCCCTTAGTTTCAGGAACAATAAAGATTATGAACAGAAGGGCTATCGCGCAAAATCCCGCAAACAGCCAGAATGTTCCTCCTTTTCCCAACGCAACATTGAGGTCATTGAAGAATTTCGTAACTACGAAAGAAACCAGCCACAACACGAAGCTTGCGACAGTGGCAAGAAAAAATTTGATATTCGAAGGCAAAATTTCTGAAGTGATTGTGTACGGCAAAGGCCCAAATCCGATATTGAATGTTACGGTATAGATAACCAGACACAAAATCGGTAGCCAAGATATATTTTTCACAGAAACGTCTGTTTCGTCCTTCAAGTAAAAGTATGAACCTAGTACGCCTAGGGAAACGATCATCCCGGTTGCCGAACAAATCAGAAGGAACTTTCTTCCTTTTCTGTCGACCATGAGAGGACCTCCAAAGCTGGCAAGGAATAAAACTATGCCTACTATGAGGGATGCAACGTCTGCAGAAACATCCGTGCCAGCATCCTTGAAAATGATCTCGGTATAAGCTAGAATAGCCCCCAATCCAGAAAGCTGCTGAAAACAGCTGAGTCCGAGAGCTATACTGAAGCCTCTGATGACGTACTTTTTCTTCAGTGTGTTGATAAAATCTCCTTCCTGGTTTTTCAACTTTTCGTTTTTAATTTCTTCGATCTCATTCTTCGCATCGAACGTCAATTGTCCGTGCCTTAGTTTCTTGAGAGACAGCTCGGCTTTGTAGTCGTTTTTGTCCACATAGAAGTAAGGACTCTCTGGTGCCAGGATAGAAAAAGAGATGAAGAACACTAACGGGAATATTGCCAAAATAATATTGAACCAGAAAATGGATATATAAGGCCCCATAATGTACGGAACGAGATCACCGAAACTGGCAAATGTACTATAAGACACCAACAGCATGCCTCTGTAGGAATCTTCCGAAATCTCCGCGACGTACATAGGCAAAACGACGTAACTAGAGGCAAGGGAGACACCTCCTACGAGTCGACCGAAGTAATACCAATTTATGTTTTTTGCGAAGGCGAATGCTAAGTAGGCGGCCAAGTGAGGTAGAGCTAGAAATAATAATACTGGTTTTCGGCCTATCCTGTCCGCCAAATAGCCTACTGGAATGATGCCGCACATCGCTCCGATGTACTGCAAGGAACCAATCCAGGACTCTTCATCGTCAGTGATAGGGCTCCCTAGTGGATTGATGCTGGAATCATTTGAGTGTAGTTTCGGTAGGATTGGTGACGACCATGTTAATGTTGTGTCGCCCGTGAGTGCTAGTAGATTACCTGAAAAAAATAGTAAGAGTGTTAATAATTTCCTCAGTTTACCCCGATAAGTTACTGCGTGATCACAAATTATTTTTTACAAAGAAAAATGTTCTATTTATCAGTAACTTGTCGTATTCAATAATTTTGACCATCAAAAAAAAAGAACTTCAGCAATATAGAAGAAAAAACAAAAAACTGATTTTATGAGATACCTTGTTCTTGGGGTGAAACTTATATTTGTGAAACTTGAAAACCATCAAAAGTGCGTAGGAATGAATATCGAGATTACATAAAAAATGGACAATTTAACGGCATCAAAATTGCCAGAACACATTTTGAAAACATCGAGTTGAATGGTACAGGATGATAATGATTGCCAATGAACCCAACGCATTTATCTCTGTTTCTCAGTACTGATACTTTTATCTTTATACTGTGGTACTGATAAGTCGTAGGAAGCTATCATTTGGAATATAGGTGGAATATAGGTGCTAAGAAAGGATTTTCAAATATTCAAACTGAGGCACCCCCGTGGGGGTAAAAGGTGTGCTTTTACATATCAAAATTACCTTTTCATCACTGTTTCTGCGTACCGCTATATTTTCGGAGGCTGAAATTTTGTATGTAGGTTCGTTTTACTTTGTAGATGTGAGATAAGAAATGATATTCAAAAATTTCAACTGAGGCGCCCAAACTGGAAATAAAAGTGTTCCCCAATGGGGAACCCCCACGTTGTCGAGAACTATTACACTATTCGCATCCAAATTTGGGATCAATGTGTTTTCAAACCATTCCTCAAAAATATTAGCTTACATGTTCTTATGATAGTCAACATTGCGGTCCTCAATTTTTTTTTCCTATAATTTCAAAGAATTCGGAACCCATCCTTTACTTCCTCCGCAATGCACAATGATTGGTAGCGATCCTTTGTTTGCAGGCATGCCAGGTGTACACATTCTTGAACCATCAGTCCACCCTTTCGTTACTGTGTCGTGAGTGTCGTACCAAGTTTCGTCCAAATAGAAAATTTGACGTTGTTCTTATCTATATTTGTTCTAAGTATTTGTTACGCAATTCCACTATTTTTCTGCTTTCCATAACTGGCATGACTTTTGTTTATTATTTTAAATATAAATCCTAGTTTATTCATCCAATTCTGAAGAGTTTTGTCACAGCAGCTCACGTTATGGCCGGAATTATTCAATTTCTTTCTTATGATTTCAGTTGTAGGAATCTCATTGCTTTTCTTTTGTAACAGTTGTATTTTTTTTTAATGATTTCATTAGATGCACATCTAAAAGTTTTGGTAATCCCGTATCACATCGCGTCTTGCGTTCATAAGGATTGTTTTTGACTATTTTACGTACACTTGAGAAAGGAATTTCGGTCAAATCTGATGTTGCTTGTAATAGTTTGTTTCCCTCGGAACCAAACTTAAAATTTAGATTCTTATATACATTGAAACATACTCTCTATGTTTCAATATTCAAATGCATTTGAATCTTATTCACTGGTATCTCTTTTTCGCATTGTTCACTATCGCAATTGGAATCACTACACAGGAAAAAGTCTGCGTTGTTATAACACTCGTTATTACTATTAGTACTTGTCCAAGGACGCCACAAATTGAAAATTTTAAGTAATTACAACTGCACCAATATCAAATTTCAACACTCAAATCGCGATCAGTTCCTGAACTGAACATTGAGAACACGACTCTTATAACCATCCTCGCATTATATTCGTCACCGTTACATGACTTTAAATTTAATTTTATGACTCTTCAGCCAATCATAAAACTCGTTTAGTAAAAATTATCCAATACGAACCGGAAATTCTTCAGTCCACGTGGACTAGTTGGCAGCGGCTTTATTTATCTGTATTGGTTTTTTTGGACTTTGAGAGCGCCGACACCTTTAAGTATGCACAATACTTCGACTGTTCCTACTACAATGAATGTTTCAGGAGTCAATGAACAACAATGACATAATTCACATTTGACAACTGTTGAAGAAGTTGAGAAATAAAAATAATCAGCAAAGAAGAACTTGTATAGACTTGGATTTTGTCCATTTTTGAAGACGGTTGCAAATTTTAATTTCCGAAACGTTAAGATTAGTATTGTATGATTTCTTAGCTCTTTTTTTTTGATAGGCAAAATTTTTGAGTACGACAAGTTACTGGTAAATATAACTTTTTTTGTGAAAAATACTTTGAATTTACATTGTAACTTATTGAGGTGAACTGAAAAGTTTGCCCATTCTACATTTGTATAAAGTTTTCCATTACAGTTTTCAGACGTCAGAAGGTGAAGATGTCCGAAGAAGGTCGATAAAAAACTAACTTCATGGACGATAGTTCATGAAATTAAACTTTTTACAAAAATTTAGGAGCAACTTTTTTGAACCATCTGTTTTTTTCTTATTAGTCAGTGGGCTATGCTTGAAGACAGGCAGTAAACAAATCTAAAAAAATGAACTTTAAATGTTCAAACCCGTCTCGGATATACCTACACAGTTCACTCCAACTCAAGACGAGGAATGAACTACTCTGAAAGAATTTCAATTTTCAATAATTATGGAATATCATTGACTTTAGGTTGATGATGGTCACTATCTTGCACTGACTTGCTAAGGAGCCCGAAACCGATCTGCAAGTGTGCCCGTTCCAAAATTGAAGGTCGAGTCTTTCAGTTGTATTGCCAATTGCATATGCAGGAAATTTTCTGTGAAAATTCCTGTACTGACGCCTGTCGGATATAATCCAACGCCCTTCGTGGTATTAGCCAGGGGAGTAGTTGTTTTCTGATAGGCGTCAGTCCATTCAACCTACTGTGTATGTATATCGATACTGGCTTGAACGTTTAAAGTTCATTTCTTTAGATTTGTTTATTGCCACTCTTCAAGCGTAGCCCACTGACTAATAAGAAAGTTTTTCTTCCTTATTCAGAGGAATCGGGCAAATTACGGATATGCAGTTGATTAGTACCTCGTCCATTGGTGGAGTGACATTTTGTTATGTTTGCTCCAACTTCGGAAGAGGAATGAAATACTCCGAAAGAATTTTGATTTCCAATTGTGGAATATCATTGACTTTTGGTCGATGATGGTCACTATCTTGCACTGACGAGTGGCTAATGAGCCCGAAACCGGTCTGAAAGTGTGCCCGTTCCAAAATTGAAGGTCGACTATTTCAGTTGTACTGCCAATTGCACATACAGGATTTTTTCTGTGAAAATTCCTGCATGACGCCTGTCGGATATAATCCAACGCCTTTTGTGGTATTAGCCAGTGGAGTAGTTGTTTTTTGATAGGCGTTAGTCCATTCCTTTAGATTTACCATCTGTTTTATTTGAAGTATTCGTCATTTTCATGCATTCAAACCGATTCTCAAGATAATTTTTCCATTTTGAGGTTGATATCTGTTTTTTGAAAAAATCTTTTGGCTTTCTACTTCTCCATCAGAAGAAAAAAATAACTGCAATGAGACTCTTTTTGAAAATATGAAGCGCATGCACAGGAGTTTCTTTCAGATACAAACTAACAGAAAAAACCGTTTCCAAACAACTACTTTCACATGAACATTGGATTACACCAAAAAAATTAACCCTGTTGAAACAACTACTTTTATATGAAGATTGAATTACATGAAAATCACTTTTTTCCATCGAGTTTGTACTACAAAAATTCTTTATAGAATTGAAACAGTAATCATCCATAGGAACGCTACACATTGTAATATATATGAAGAGTATTGATATAAAAAAAAATTCATTTACACGGAACACTATTATCTTAAATGGTGTACTTTGAAATTTCGGGACAAGACACTTGTATCACCTCATCAGCATCGTATTGGATAACATTAAACGACTAAGCACTGATGCCACATTTTACAACCGGCCAACCTCTAATGGTGGTTTGTAACAACATAAAAGCCGGCTCTAATAGCATCAACATTGGAGAAATAATCTGAAAACCTACGTACCAGCAAATACCACGATATACGCGTAATTCATATGCATCGCCATCTCTTCTTTTTCCTGAAAATATGAGAAACAGCGATTAGAATGGAAGTCAATTTCAATTTTCTATCAACACCAACTCCAAATTTGAAACCATTACAATAAACTATTTCAACCTCCGGTATAGTCTGAATTCAACAAATCATTTCTTGTTTGAATGCGCTTGACGACAGTGTTTCGACACGAAACTGAGCCACATCAGGAAAGATCTTCAGCAGAATGGCTACTCCAGAAAGCTGGTGGAACAGACTTTGTCTAGAAGACACAAAAAGCAAAGCGTAGTGAACCTCATTGATTCATTGCATATATAAAGCATAATGCCAATATACCTACTCCTTTAATTGTCTAAAAACTCCATAATTATTGAATACCAAAGATAATAAATGTGTTCGTCCATTTTCTTGAAGAATTGATTCCTCTCACGAAGTAATATTAACAAAAACAAATGATATTGAACTAATTTACAACCAAAAAATATTACTGGAGTTTTTTCCCAACACCAAACCACCTCGACACGTGTTTCGATCATCAAGTGATCATACCAGATAAAGAAGGGAATGTTGCCCCTACTCAGAGAAATATAATGAATTCAATAGTGGTATAGTTCAAGTAAAAGATATAGTGCCCCCTACCTTCCAGCAGTTCCCCTTTAATAACACACACAAAGCGGTTTATAGTCATCGCTACATTCTGTTGGTCACCGTAAAAGACGTCAAATTTAATTTTATGACTCTTCAGCCAATCATAAAACTCGGCCAGTAAAAATTATCCAATACGAACCGCCAATTCTTCAGTCCACGTGGACAAATTCGTTGCGGCATAATTCCTTTGTAGTGGTTTTTTTGGCCTTTCACTTCGCCGACAACTTTAAGATTACTATATCGGTTACTTCGACTATACTCATCGCTACATTCTATTGGTCACCGTAACATGCGGAAGACTTAGTTGAACCATTTTGTTTAATCATGAATTCCTCGATAGAAACAGGAATTTTCCCAGAGTCCTTAAAAGTAGCGAAGGTTATCCCCTTATATAAAAAAGAATCAAATAATTTACCAGAAAACTATAGATAATTGTCTCTCACATCAGTGTTTGCGAAACTATTTGAGTATTGTATGTTAAGAGGTTGACCTCTTTCATTGTGAGATTTAATCTGATACCAGATGAACAACATGGATTTGGGAAATCCAAATCAACCACAACAGCAACAACAGAATTAGACAAAAAAAGATGTCCAATTGATATATACTGCGATCTGAGCAAAGCGTTTGATTGTTTTCCACACGATCGATTGTTAGAAAAGCTTTGGATTTATGGAAGCAGAGGAAATACACATCATTGGTTTCGGTCTTATCTTGATGGTAGAAAACAATATGCACAGATATCTCACATTAAGGATGATGGACAAAACAGCATACACTGCTCAGATTTGATATCGATAAGTGTAGGGGTACCGCAGGGCAGTGTTCTTGCACCTATATTGTTCTCTTTATATATAGCAGATATTGTTAAATACCTAGATGAACACAAACTAACACTTTACGCAGATGATCTGTCGATCCTAGTAGCAGAAAACTCCTTAGAAGCCACCCAACAAAATTGTAACGATTTAATGACAAGAATTATACTTTGGTTCTCAACAAACAATTTATGTCAATTCTGGTAAAACAAATTTTTCAATATTTCACTCCAGACAAAAGAGGATTGAAAACATAGAAATTAAAATGAAAGAAGAAAACTAAAACAATGCGAAAATATAAAAATTTTAGGTATAATTATGAGTGACACATTAGAATGGGAATTCCATATCAGAGAAACAATATCCAAACTAAACAGCAAAATATACCATCTGAAATGCATACTAAGAGTTCTTAACTTGTCGGTACTAAAAAATTTTTATTATGCTGAAATTCAGTCACGACTCACATATGGAATCTTATTATGGGGTTCATCATCAGCAGCTCGGAAATTATTTGTACTGCAGAAATGCCTTAGAACTTTATTGAATAAAAGTCAGAGAGTATCATCCAGATTATTATTTGCCAATCTGAAAGTACTTCCTCTCTCTTGCTTGTATATTCTAGAAATATCTTGCTACATTTTTAAAAATAAAAAAAGCATTAGCACTCATAGTAATGATCACAGTTATTGAACTAGATTTAACGACCATCTAAAAACACCTCGAAATAATTTGAATGTAACTCTCAGGGGACCTCCAATGACGTAAGAATTTACAATAAGCTCCCGGAATCAATTAAAAAGGAAATTACTGACTTCAAATTCAGAAAGCATCTGAAAACTTTTTTGTTGTCGAAAATGTTTTATAATACTGAAGAATTTTATTCCAGCTAATAGGATACTTTCATTCAATAACATATTTCAATTAACTTACTATATTTTCAAAATTGTCAGTTTCAAATGTGAAATTTCTACCTAAATATGTAATTTGTGACGTGTTTTATATTACTTTTACTGTAATCTGTAAAGCCAATGAATAAATTGAATTGAATTGAATTGAATCTTCAAGAGGAAGATCCGAGAATGCCTTATGCATTCCAAAAAGGTCACTCTTTGCGGCGTGATCGTTCCATATTTCTTTGAGAATGACGTTGGCCAGGCCATCATTGTCAACGGCGTGCATTATAGGTCAATGATTATCGACGTCTTTTGGCCTGAATTGAATAATCTGGACACCAACGACATGTGATTTTAACAAGACGGCGATTCATGCCACACTGGATATTCTGCACAAGCCATTTGGGGGGATGGTCACCTCACGAGGTAATGTGACATGGCCACCAAGATCGTGTAATTTGACCCCGTTACACTTTTTCTTCTGGGATTTTCTTAACTCGCAAGTGTATGTTAATAAGCCACAAATCATAGCTGTCCTCAAAGCCAACATAACCTGAGTTATCAGTCAAATTCAGCCTGATTTATGTGCCAGAGTCATGAAAATTGGACGTTTTGGATACACTTCACCCACAGAAAGCATGACTGATATTCGAACGATGTTATTCACATAATGGTATCAATAGTTATTTCAAACGAAAAAAAAATATCGATGATATTTTATTTAGAATTTAAAGACGGGAAGCACTTAATGAAAGACCTTATATTTGTGACAGGCTTAAGTTATTTATGAACCACACTAAACGTAAATTATTACCTGAAGGCGGAAAAATGATATTTGAACCGTCATAAACTAACATGACAACAGGTCCATAACTCAATAATTTACGAACAATCAGAGAACTCGGACGGTTGGCTGTCCTTGTTCATCTTTCACTGCCTGAACCACTGTGCATGCTGTTTTTGGCAAGTGCATTGGATGGGGAGGTAGGGGTTGGGCAAACCGGCCATCGGATGCCTGCTTCCACGTAGCCCCGCTGGATACGGGGATGACAGAATCACTTGTGGTTCTGTTATTCCCTAACTGAATGGCAATCCAAAGATGGTATCCTAAGATGTATGTTTCCGTGCCGTGAGGATGAATGACACAGAGCCTATCAGCTGTTTCTACGAAACCTTCGAGATACACGGCGCCCTCTTGTCGTAGCATCGCCTTGTCACGGTAATGCGGAGCTCTGCTGTGGTTGGCCTTCTTTCTCTAGCTACTCGTGGGACTTTTATGGACAGAGTAAACTTAAAATATCTTTCTGACGCTGAGTCTACAGAGCTTACGACTCCAACTGACCTCCCTGTAAAGAGCTCTCAGCTCTTCAACTCCTGATCCAATAACTAAACCTAAAAAATAAGTTTGGTGGTGCAGCCAGGAAACGACTGAGTCGTTTCCTCAAGAGCGGGGTACCTTATAAAACCGCCTTGCATCAAATTCTTGAGCGGCGAAAGCAGAATCTGTCTCAGGTGGAGGAACAAACCCCCATGAGCAAAACCAGAGGCGAAAACCCTGCACGGTTGAATCTAAGGCATCGTCAGGTGTAGCTGACGTACAAAAACCCTCATATGGGAAGGTTGTCGCGGGTATCATTAACGATGAAACAGCAGAGCATATACTTTGTGCCTACCCCGCCGGGGACCGATTCAGGTTTTTAGAGTTCGGCAGAGCCGTACTCTTACCATCTGACCTGAAAGACCACTCACCATACAAACTAATCGCTTCGTTAAGAAGCTGTGTTTATTTGGCCGAGTGTGAATAGGTGTGAGCCACAATAAACCCTTGCGGGTTGCGGTGGAGGTTGAATAGACCCACTCACTTTGGACCTAACCTAACCTAACCTCATGAGAGCTTTTTTCTTGAAACGACCTAACGAATCACCCTTTGAAGTTCCGTACTGTAACAAGTATATTCTGGCGTCCTTGCTCACAAATAAAAAAATCAGAATAGTGTCACTCTTACTTAAAAACTCATAACCTGCTTCCGACTTTTAAAGTAGCTTGCCTGTGACAAAAAACGTTTGATACTTCAAGTTTGGAATGTAACAGTTTCAAGTAATTGCTCCTGCTATTGTATTTTTCAAAAGCTTTTATTTAACTTGACTTGTATGTATGCTAACAAATCTTGCAAGTTCAATTTGACCCACTTCCCGGTATCCGATTGACCTGAAATTTTGCATGCTGGTCCAGAACCGATGACAATGCATGTTAATCATAAACATGACCTGATGCTGCTGCCAGGATCGGCTCCGTACGAGAGATCTCCTCAGCGGTAAATAGCAGGGACACGAAATTTTGTATACGCATTCGTTTATGATAGGCAGTTGGTAGGTCCACCATGAAATAGATGCCACATCCAGGGTTGGCTTCAATAAAAAAATATATTTCTAGAAAAAAAAGGAAATTAACCTTTTACCTTTAAATACCTAATTCCCGACTCTTAAAAGAAGACAATAAATGGTGTAGTAGTTGTAAGAATCCATATTTATTTGCATTGTAAAAAATACTATTATCTACCACCCTCTAAGTTCCCAGAGTAAGAGGCTCCATCACGCAATGTGAGCAACAATCACAAAAGGCATACCATGATTTGTGTAATTTGGTGAGATGGGCGTCATTAG